AGCACAAAAAGCGTTTGGGTGAGGTATGGTGTACAGAAAGAATAGTCCATCTGGTTTATGCTATCCTTGCGTGCGTCTGTCATTCTTTGTGTGCCTCCCTCTTCCTCCGTGTCAATTTGGGCGCGGCACCAGCAGCGTCGATGAATGAATGAGTGTGTCTGTCTGTCTGTCGGCAGGTGGGTGGCACCATCACTCTCTCTCTCTCTCTCTGTCGGTCGGTCGATGTGTCTTGGCTGCATGTGTGTGTGTGTGTGTGTGACCCGTGGGAGTGTTTGTTTTACGTTTTTTTCGCCCTTTCCGGCGGCGCGGGTCCATATTTCTCGCTGCACGCAGTCATACACGAAGCTGTGGATGGATGCATGGACGGACGGACGGACGGCTGAGTCATCGAATCTGCTGTCTGTTTGTCTGGCCGTCCTCACTCAGCTGCCATAGCTGATGGACCACAGGCCACGGGGCTCTCTGTCCGCCTCTCCCCATCTCCCCCTCTGCGTCCTCTCCGTCTGTCTGTCTGTCTCTGTCTGTCTGTCTGTTTCCGCTTTTTGCTACCTCGGCTTGGCTGTTCATCTGTCGGTCTGGATGTATGTTATGTTGCGCGTGTGTGGCGAAGCAAGACATTTTGCCTGAGAAGTGTTTGGATTGGATTGGAATGTGTCGGCCGGCGTGTGTGGCTTGTTTGAGTCCCTTCGTCCGTGCTTCGCCAATCGCGGCGTGTCTCTCTAAAGAGTGGATGTGTTGCTGGCTGGTGTGTGCGTCAGAGGCCTTTAGTGTGTATGTGTGTGTGTGTCGGTCCGGTCCTGTGTGTGTCCAGGACGGCGCACAGCGTGTTTGGTCGTCTCTATCTACTTTTGGCCGTTTCTTCTTTTGGATTTTGGTCGTTTTGTGCTCGTTTCTTGATAAATGCACCTTTGGTAAGACGGGTCCATCCCTCCCCCCCCCTCCCTCTCTCTCTCTCTCTCTCTCTCATTTCTCGGTTGTTTTCCCTCTTGTGGTTTGCGGGTTGCGTTTTGGGAGCGATCTGTGGGCTGGCTGGCAGGTAGCGTGATGTCTTCCCTCCCACTGCTGGCTCGGTGTGGTGGTGTGGCTGCTACTTACTGTGGCTTGGCTTGGCTTGGCTTGGGTGTGGGCGTAGAGGCACGTAAGGTACAGGTACATGCATCTACATCTCGGCATGCAAAGGCTATGCTGGTCTGTTGTCAATTAGTGCACACATACATTCATACGTACGTATGTAATTTCATATAAGCAATGATTGCAATGCTGCACGAATGGGTGAGCGTTCGGGCCGTGTAGTAGTGCCCCACCTTTCCTCCTCTCCTCCCTCCCCTTCCATACGTGCCTTGGCTTAGATAGAACCGTCCTTCCTTCGTCTTTCACCACACACAGCGCATCACATACATGTATATGTGCGTATGTCAGGCGGCGGGCTCTCCCGCCGTGAGGTGAGGTCTTGTCTCCCTCATGGCATGGCGTGGTGTGCCTGGCGCGGCTCCCGTATGTGTGTGTGTGTTTGATTGTGTACAGATGTACATGTGTGTGTGTATGTGGCTGACGTAGACTAGGCCTGCATGGGCGGATGGATGGATGGATGGAGCTGACTGGTCTGGTCTTTTGCAATCCGCAGTACATAAAACCCTACATACAACGCAGTGTGATGTAGCGCCTGTTTGTTGTGTGATGTGATTGATGTGTATGGCGTGTGGTATGGTGCTGGAGTGTTTTGTATGTGTGTCGTCGGTGAGATGCCCTCTCTCTTTCTTGATATGTGATGATCGATGTCTGGTTGGGTTAAATGAGTGGCTAGCTGGCTGGCATAGACAGCGAGCGACTCGCTTTCCCAACAGAACAGGTCAGGCTCGTTGGCCGGCCGGGCTGCGTTCGTACGTACAACAAAGTGCGTGTGTGTGTCTCGTGTGTGTGTGTCTCGTGTGTGTGTGTGTGTGTGAGAGGGCAGATCAGATCCAAGAGAGAGATCATCTGATGAGACAGGCCGACGACCGAATGAGTGAATAGCCATCAGTAATAGCTCACTCACTCTTCGACGTCGCTTCTCGGTGGCTGTGGTTATTTCTCTGACGACTTTGTTATGTGCGTAGAGAGCTCGCTCGCCCATCCCTCACCTCCCTCACCGCCTGTCCTACCTCCCCTGCCTCCGTCCGGACCGTGCAGTGTGTACAGTACACCATGGACTGACTACACAGACACATTTGATTGATTGCAAGCTTACGTGTACTTCTCTCTCCGATTCCCTCCCTCTCCTTCACTCACTTGCACTCACTGTCTGTAGTATATATCCACCTTACACCACAGCAGACGCACGGCGGTAGCGGACAGGCAGGCAGGCAGGCGGCTGTCAACGTTCGTGAGACAGACGGGCGGGCGGCCGGATGGTTTGGATGGATGCGTACCGTGGATGCAGGACTGTGCTCAACTGACTGGCTCTGACTGACCGGTATGTGCGTGATGATCCGACACATGCACGAAAAGACATGCACCAATCTGTTGGTGCCTGCGTGACGTGTGTCCGATCCAATTGGTCCGATCATGATTGCATTTCTTGCTCAATCACCACACCACCGCCCCATACCCTAAGTCGCGCTTGAAACTCTTCATTTGGGGCTTCCCTTCCCCCCCGCCTCACACGGGCGTCCACCTTTCCCTCGGCCATCGCTGGTCCACCACGCTCCCCATTGACCGCAGAAGATGTACAAGGCGGATCCCCACAGTCCCAAGTCGGGTGGTGCGTCGGCGACGTCGCTGCCCCCCCACCTCACCACATCCCTCAAGCGGGGCGTCCAGGCCACCAAACACATGGCAGAACTCCTCGAGAAACACCAGGCAAGGCACGTTCGCAGGCATGGCAGCCACGCCTCCCCTCCCTCCCAGTGTGGGTGGGTGGGTCGGACTCTGTATGTGCGCTTGTTTCATTCCTTCAGCAAATCGTGGATGACTTGTTGAAGGTGCGCAGGGGCGAGACCGGCCGGGAGTCGGAGGAGGAGATTGAACTCAACGTGGGGGGCCGAGTGCTGGCCGCGCCCAAGAGGCCCCTCCTCCTGCAGTCGCCGCCCGTGAGGGACTCGTTCATCGCCCACATCCTGCTGTACTACCTCGACAGCCTGCCCAAAGACAGTAAGGGACGGCCCTTCCTCGACGCAGACCCCGTGTATATGGACTGGTGTGTAAGGAAAGGAAGGGCGACTGACTGACTGCCTGCCCCTCAGACACTGTACGGTATGTGTGTTGATGACTCTGTCTGTATTTGCAGGCTGTTTGACGAGTTGGCGACGGCGGGGGCCGCCGAGCTCCGTGGCGAGAAGCACAAGATCGAGCTGGTGGCCCCCCACGACAGGGACACGTCATCCCTGTTCTACCACGAGCTGCTGTTCACCAACAAGACCAACATTGCCAAGCTCCTCCGGGAATACGAGGAGGCAGAGGAAGAGCTACACAACGCAGCGACGGCGGCCAAAGAGCGACATGTTGACACAAAGGGTGGACCTGGCGGGGGCAAGAGCAGCCCGGTGATCGAGATGAAGACCCACCAAGCGCGCGCCATGGACGCGTAAGACTCTTGACTCTCTGACTCACTAAGCAACCGGTATATCCACTCAACGCCTTTGTTGGCTCATTGGTTCAGGTTGGAGGCCCTGCTGGAGGTGGAGCACGGCCTCAAGAAATTCTACAGGTCACTCACTCCAAGAGGCACCCACCTCACACCGAACGTGCTGTAGAATGGTGGGTCTTGTTCGTTCGAACTCTGACTGACACTGAACAGGACTATCTCCCCCTTCCTTAAGACCTGGAGTGCGGACGAGAACTCAGTCAAGTCGGTGCGCATCCTGACCAAGACCGTGTCGACCACCGAGGCCACCCTGAGGCTCATCGGACGGGACAAACACCTCTACACTGCCTTCCACAAGTAGTCTTCCTCTCTACGCACACTCACTCACAGAGGGAGAGAGGAGAGATACAGAGATCGTTGCTGTGTTACTGCAGCAACGAGTCGAAGATTGGCAAGATGTCATCCGCCGATCTGCTCAAGTTGGTGGACTTCTGCCGTCGGCAGCGTCTGGCAGCCCCCGGCACGGCCGTCAAGCCGCCCAAAACGGCGGGGCAGCTCCCGAACCACGCCAAGATACAAGGGTTGACGCTCGGCAGCGCCTACGGCCCGCTGATGTGGGAGGACGAACTGCAGGACATCATCGAGATGGCCGGCAAAGACAATACGGTCAAAGCTACACTCGTCTTCAAGTGAGGAAGGGTTTAGAGACACATGAATGGATGGATGGATGGTGTCTCCCTCTCTATGTCTGTGTGGTCTGCAGAGCGACAAGGGACGGTTTCGGTTACGGCACGATGCTGGGGTGTGTGGGGCCGGAGCGATACGGGCTGGTGCTGGTGCTGATGGAGGAGGGCGGCACACACCGGTTCGGTTGCTTCATCGACGGACCCCTGGTGCCTCCACAACCACAACCACAACCACAACCACAAGAAGAAGCCAACCAGGGAGAAGCCAACCAGGGAGAAGCCAACCAGGAAGAAGCCAACCAAGAAGAAGCCAAGCAAGAAGAAGCCAACCAAGAAGACGACACAGAAGAGCAGCCACAAGCCGACACCAACAACAACAACAACACAGAAATGCCAGCATTGGCAGCACGGGAATTGCAGAAGGAGGATGACCTGATGCCCTACCGATACCCGGTGCCCCTCTTCTTGTTCTCCCTCAGCGGCGCATACGACGAGCCCACCAAGGTCGACATCCCCCAGGAGATCCAGGACATCAGCGTCTCTGCCCCGGGGAGCGAGCTGCCGCGGTCGGGCTCGCCCTCGGTCAAGGCCATTGACATGGACTACAGCGGCAACCTCAGCATCGCCAGGGGCAACCTGTGCGACAGACAGACGCTCTTATATATTCAACACGCCCAGCTCAGCTGCAACTCACTCATTTACTGACTTTGTCTCCTGTCTCCTGTCTCTAGGTGGCTGGGGTGGGCGACCCCCGGTCCGGCCATCGACATGTCGAGTTGCCAGTGCTGGGTGAGGCTGGAGCACCTGCCGGACGGCTACAAGGGGCTGGGGGTCTTCTCCGACACGGCCGACGCACAGGTGGGCTCACTCGCCAGCAACATCGAGTGTAAGCTGGCGGAAATTGAGGTCTACCACGTCATCCGCCCACGGCCGGGCCATGCGGGCTAGACAGACAGACAGACAGACTGACAGGCAGGCAGGCGGCTGGGGGGTCTTTTGGCTGACTGCGTGAGTGATGTGGCCTGGCGTGTTTTCTGCTTTGGGCTTGCCTGCGTACACACTACACCATACGTACAGCCACCGTGGCTGCGTTGGGAATCTTGAGAGAGACAGGGGGGACTGTCGTGCCTACTGCGCTGGGGGCCCTGTGTTGGTGTCGGGAGTGGAGTACAGCATTAGGGCAACTGCACTGCACTCGAGGAGGTTTGTGTGTGATGGGTTCGGTCTGACAAAGGGCTTGTGTGAGTCTCTGCCAAGCTGCCTGCCTGCCTGCGGTCGCATTTCGGGCTGAGAATTCTAAGTACTGTGCTGGATTGAATGGTCACAAACAAAGCACTCTGTGACGGGACTTCTAAAGGGGTGGACTTGGGCGGATCGGCAAAGACGCTGAAGCTTGCTTGGAGCTTGAATCAGGCAGTCGCATTGTAGGCAATATCATGCGGAGGTCTCTCACACCACACCACACCACACCACACACACTCCGTGACACACATGGAATTCAGTCACATGCAGCGCCATCCAACCACCCAATCAAGTACGTCAAAGTCAGGCAGGCCATCACATGCACCGGTATCAGGCGCTGCAAATTACCCACGGCACCCACACAGACAGGCAGAAGGCACACAGTCGTCCATCCATCCATCCATTCGTCCATTCATTCATTCACGCTGCAAGCACCCAAAAAAATACGAACTCACACACACCGACATTCCCTGTGGGTGGATCGGATGGGGATGGGTGGTTCGATCGATCGCATGTGGGCCGGGCCACGCAGTCTGTGTGTCGGCCGGCCGGCCATGTCATGTCCATCTCTGTCTGCCCCCATCCCATTTCGGCTCGTCTGCTCCGCCTATCTCTGTCGGTCTCTCTGTCTCCCCGTTACCTCGCTCCCCATCCATCCATCGCTCCATCTGTCCATCCATCTGTCCATCTGTCCACGGCCTTCCTCTCCATCAGGAAACGAAGAAGTCGGTGTACACTCACTCAAAGCACTCTTGTTTGTTCCGCTGGGCAGGAAATTCGGGCTTGTCTTGCGCATCTATAGGTAGGTAGGTAACAAGATAGAAATACAGACACGCACACATACAGAGATGTGTGTGTGGAATTGAATAATCAAGGCGGATCAGAACACCCAGGTCAGTCAGTCAGTCTAGACAGACAGACAGTGTGTGTGTATGTACGTGTGGATCATGCAGTCGGGCAGTCGGTCGTCAAAACCTTTGGAGCAAGCAGGTAGGTGGTGGCAAGAACACCTCCTCCCTCCCTCCCTCCCTCCCTCCATCCCTTCGTCTCTCCGTCCGAATTAAGCCGCAGACACCCGACACACAGACTCACACACGTTGGAAGACACTCACATTCAATTGACTGACGGCTGACACGGACGGCATTCATGGCATTCATGGCACGTTATCCTGGTTTAAAACGAAGAAGAAACGCCCGCCCTCCTTCTTGGCCCATCCCCATCTCTACGCCTTCTTGGCCCACACGGCAGCGGTGTTCTGCTGATGCGGGAGATAGGCGTTGTTGTGGTGCTGGTGATGGTGATTGTGGTAGTGATGGTTGCCGCCTCCCCTGCTGCCCCCTCGGTACCCCCTCCCCGGCCCAGACCCGCCGTGTTGGCCACCTCCTCGCATGTGACTGTGGTTGTGGTTGACGCCGCCCCTGCCTGCCTGATGTGGTGGATGGGGAGACGGCCCATAGTATGATGCCCCAGGGCCCCCCCCTCTGTGGTGGTTAGTGTACACGGGCGGTGGGGCCGGCTGGTGCTGGTGCTGCTGGGGAGGACTGGTCTTGTCACCGTGCTGCTGCCGCTGCTGCTGCGCGGGGTGGGGGTGATGCTGCTGCTGCTGTTGTTGATGCGATGGCTGCTCGGCAAAGTGGTTGTACTGACCGCCGGACGGCCCCTGCTGGTACATGTAGTAAGACGGCGACGCCTGGCCGTGGGGGTGGCCGTACGGGCCACCAACACCAGCAGCACCATGTGCAGCAGCGTTGCGCGGCACAGGTGACCGCGCCCCGCCTCTGGCTTTGCCGATGTGCTTGAGCCCCGACGGCTGGTCCGCACCCACGTGCGCATGATCCACCCCTCTAGACGCCTGAGCTCCCTGCTGTTGCTGCGACGCCCCGGACCGCTCGGACCGCACATCGGGTGCATCAGGCAACCGGGGGCGATAGACCGGTCGCTTCGGTGGGGGAGGGGGGGGACGCGAAACAAACTCGTTGGGCGTCAGAGAGGCCGGTGCCGGGCCAGCTCCGTTCAAGATCGCCGGTGGAGCGTCCTGTGGCGGCGGCGGGTAGGGGGCAGGCGTACCGTTCATCGAGTGGGGGGGTGGGGGCCGCGCAGGTGGTGGCGCACTCGGACCATTGGGCATGCGGGCACCGACGAAAGGTCTGACGGCCGGCGGGCTGCCCGCCGCGGACGTCGAGGGCACAAACACGCCACTGGAGTTGGCAAAGGGGCCGATCTGCATCCTCTCGTGACCACCACCATGCTGGCCGTGCGCACCACCGCCCTCGGTCTCCTCAGGTTTGCTCCAGATCTGCTTGATGAACGGCGGGGGCGACCCCAGACTCATCGCATTGCCTGCTCCTTGCCCATGGCCATGCGAATGGGTGTGCGGGCCTCTCGCCGTGTTGATGGCCAGCTGGTTAGGCCCCTCAGCCCGCACCGGTGGCACGTGAGTGGCGGCCGCCTGCTGCTGCTGCTGCGGCGGCGGCTTCTGCTGCTGCTGTGGGGAGGTGGCTGCCTGCTCAGCAGCTGCGGCAGGTGCAGGGGTGGGCGGGGCTGCCCGCGGGGGAGGGCGTATCTGATAAGGAAAGAGACAACAACCAGTCCACTGGATGTCGTGCCTTGATGCCACGTCACTCTCTCACCTCTGGTGGTGCTTTCGCAGGGGCCTGTTTGGGCAGCGGTGGCCGCCGGCCCAGGTCGAACGTGACGGCCTCTGTGGGGGGCGAGGCCGACCGACGCACACCGAACTCCACCTTCGGGGGATGTGGCTGATGCGATGGAGCCGGACCAGACCTGACACACACGATTGACGCATTGACACACCACACACGAGCGCGTGTGCATTGATTGGGTGCTGGGCGTGCTGTGTGTGTGAGGGTGCGGGCGTACCGCACGGCAGGGGGCGGTCCCTTTGGCATGGTGGACCGCACAGCGGCCTCCGTGGCTGGCGATGGTGCCGCAGCAGCAGCAGCTGCTGCTGCGGCTGCTGTGGGACTCTGCGCCTTCGGGCCGCCTGCAGGAGGGCCTTCATGAGGAGGGCGGACACCTGCTGGATGGATGGACAAGCGACGCATCCATCGATCACACACACAGACGTCAACATGAGAGCTGTTCTGTGCACACATATGTGAGAGCATTGATTATCGCTCTCCCGTCCGTCCCGTACCTGCCGCCTTTGCCTTGGGGAAGGCGTCTCTGTCATCACCACCCTGCACACACACACACACACACACACACACACGGCCACATCAAAGTGAGTGAGAGACACCGGACGACCACTGTACTGTGCAGACACAACACATCCCCCCGCACACCACACGCACCTTCGGAGGGACGGGCACCCTGGCGCCGGGCACCGGCAGGATCTTCGGGGGCGGGAAGGCACTCACCGCAGCTGGGGCAGCCGCGTGTACCGGCCTGTGTGGCGGGCGGTGCTGATGTTGGGGCCTCACGTGCACCGAGGGAGGCGGCCGCGGGTTGGTCTCATGGAAAGGCACCGGTTGCTTCGGCTGCTGCTGCTGCTGATGCTGCTGCACGGGCCGGGCGGGAACGTGAACAGTGACGTGGAGAGGGGCGGGGGAGTGGGGCTGCGGCTTCGCTGGGGGATGATGATCTGAGGAGGAACCAGCCGCAGCTGGTGGTGCAGCTGCGGCTGCGGCTGGTGGTGGGGGAGCAGGGGACGGCTCCGTCGGCTGCTCCGCCGGCTGCTGCTGTGCGGCGGGCTGCTCTGGCGACACGTTGGTGTTGTTGTTGACTTGCAGCCACGACGCCTTGCCATTCCCTTTGGCCGCCCTGTCCCTGTCCCTGTCCCTGTCCCTGCCGCGTCGGTCTCTCTCCCGCCTGCCCTCCTTGTGACCTTCACCGCCTCTCTCCCTGTCTCTGTGCCCGCCACGGCCTCCCCGACGCCTCCCCTTGTCCTCGCGCTGAGCGGGCTGCTCATTGGACGCCCCTACAGCTGCAGCTTCTGCCCCAGCGGCTGTAGCTTCAAGCGCTGCGGGTGCAGGGACCGACTCGTCCTCCTTCGTGCCCTCCTCGGGACCAGCGGGTGGGGCGGGTGGGGGCGGTGGTGGAGAGGAGGGATTGTCATTGTCATTGGCTGCTGCCTCCTGCTGGGGTGGAGCTTGCTGGTGGCCAGAAGCCCCACCGGCTCTCTTGCCGCGGTCTCGCCCTCTGCCACGCTCGCGGTGGTTGGCGCTGGCATTGGCTCCACCCGCTGCCGCTGCTGCTGCTGGGGATGGCGATGGCTGCGGTGCGGTGGGCGTAGGTGTCTTGGGGGGCTCCATGACGGCAGGTGCCTTTGGTGGCGGCTGGTTGTCTGTCCCGCTGGCCTTCTTCTGCCACCGCTGCTTGGTGGGGGTCGCGGACGCCACCCCTGCCGCCTGCGCATTATCCTCTTTCGGCCTCTCCTTGACAACGACCACAGGCGAAGCAGCGACAGCAGCAGCCGCAGCCGGCGCAGAGGCCGTCGGGACCGTCACTGGCATATGCGGAGTGATGGGGAGGGCCGGCTGGTGCGCAATGGCCACAGCGGGAGGGGGCGGTGGCTGCGATGGGGGCGGCGCGGCGCCGGTGCGCTCGATGTCGACTGTGATGGGCGCGCTTGGGGTGACAATCTGGCCTGGCGGGGTGTGCCCGTGATGGGGATGGGCGTGGCCGGGCTTGTTGGGGTGCTGTTGGTGAGTCTTGGTGCTGTCGCGCCTCTGTCTGCGGTTCTGCCGCCCGCCTGGCTGCTGTTGCTGCTGGCTGGGGGAACTCGCCGCAGGAGCCGCCACCGCTGCCGCTGCCATAACGACATCTGGAGATGAGCGGGCCTGAGCACCCGCCTTGGGCTCGTTGTCTGAAGAATAGACAAACAGAAACACAGGCAGGAGCAGACAGCTCAGCAGATGGGACGGCGTGCATCACATCACGCTGGCATGTGTGTCTTTGCCTTGCTGACTGACCTGTGGCTTCGTTGTGAACAGAGAGAGGTGGGTTTGCGGCGGGTGGCGGCTGCTTCGGCCTGTGTTGTGTGTTGGTGTCATTGTTGTCCTCCCGCTTGCTGAGCGATTGCGCCCCTCTGCCTCGACCGCCACGAGACCGACCGCCGCGCGAACCACGCCTGAGGCACAGCACTCATCAACAGGAATGCCATATATGTCAGGATAGATAGCTATGTGTGCCTCCCTCTCTGATGTCAGCCCGTCTCTCTCACTCACCTGGCGGGTGACGCATCCTCATCGTGTTTCCCGCCCTCCCTCTCGTCAGCACGCCCCTGACCCTGGCCCTCGGTGTTCGGCCTTGACGCTGCCGGGACCGCCACCCACGACACAACGCCCCTCCTGTTGTGGCTGTTGTTGGCCTGCTGCTGCTGGGTGGTACTGCCCTGCTGGTGGTTGGCCTCCTGCTGGCTGTGCTGATTGTTGTTGGGCCGCCCCCGTGGCCCGGGGCCGGCTGCCGCTGCCGCGCCCCTCTGAGCGTCAACCGAGATCGGCGTGGGCAAGAGGGCCGGCTTCTCCGATGGACGAGTGGACGGCTGAGGACCGGTGACATCGTTCTTATTGCTCGGGCTATCTTGGCGCGCCTCTGAGCTGGGCGGGGGCGCCTGTTGCTTGGGGGGTGGAGGGGGCGGGGAGGGCGAAGAGGCCTCGCGAAGAGGGGGGAATGGTGTGATGGGGAAAACAGCCGACGGGTTCCGCTGATCGTCTGCAGGCCGCTCCGGCACTTTCCACACCGATGGCTGGGGCGGCGGAGACTTTTGCAAAATGGTCGGCGGGGCCTTGGGGGCCTTGGGCACAGCCGCCTCCTTCTTGGCGATGACCACAGGCGCCGCCGCCGCAGCAGCAGCAGCAGCCGGAGCTGGAGCCGGTGCGGCGGAAGGCGCGCTCTCGGGCGCCTTGGGCGGCGGTGCGATGGGCTCCTTCGGTTCTTCAGGCTTCCTGCTCTCCTCTCTCCGCACAATCGCCTTCGGCGTCGGCATGGGCGCTGCCTTCTGATCTGCGGCCCTTGGCGATCCATCCGCCTCCACAACCACCGCCCTGATGCGATTGCCAGCGGTCCGAGCAGTCGGAGACCTCTCGTCCTCGTCGACGCGCCTCAGCTTGGACCAGTCGTCTTCAGCGTGATGCGACTGGAAGCTGGTGCTGCCGCGCCGGGGAGGCATGCTCAACGGTTCCCCCCTGTCCCTCCCGCTGCCGAGCCGGTCGTTACTACTGCCGCTGCTGCCCCTCCGGATCAATGCACGGTCGTCGGCCGCCCCACCGAAGTCGGCGGCCCTCCGCCACTCGAGAGGTGACGACCGATCGACCACAGACGAGCGCGGAGAGGACTCCTGAGCAGCAGCAGCAGCAGCTGCTGCTGTTGCTGGGACTGGGACTGGAGCTGGTGCTGGTGCTGTCACTTCGTGGTCTGCTGGTGGTGGGGGCGAGGGTGAGGAGGAGATGGGGGGTGAGGCTGACGCCGACGCAGAGGCCTTGGGGGAGGTGTCTGTCGGTGGTGGTTGTTGCTGCAGGTCTGTCGTGTGGCTTCTATGGCTCATGCGCCGCTCCAGCTCCATCAGCTTGGCCTGGGCACGCTCGCGCTGGTGACGCTGCATGCGACACAGACAAAGGGAGAGAGAGATCAGACGCACACATCCATCCATCCATCCATCAACAAAGTGTCTGTCATGTCGGCCAGTGGCCACCCCACCCCACCTGCAGCTCTTCCTCCTCCTTCCGCCTGGCCTCCCGCCTCTCCCTGGCGATCTCGTCCATGCTCTTCTTCTGATATCGAAGCTCGTTGAGCGCCGCTGGCGGCCGGTCCTGATCCTTCTCGCCCTCAACCCTCCCCACACCACCTGCCGGCGTCGCCACATCACGATCACGATCAGCACGGCCGGCCACCAGCGGCGGTGGCTGCTGCTGTTGCTGCTGCTGCTGCTGCTGTGGGTGAGGATGTGCTGGTGGAGACGGCATGAGCCCCCGCCAGCCCCGATGTGAGCTGCGGAAGCCCGCGAACGGGCCGTCGGCCGCGTCGTCAGGTCCGTACATCTGACCCATGGGATGGTGGCTGTGAGGGGGCGGCGAGGGCATCAGCCCCTTGCCGCCCGAGAAAGGCTGCGGGTGATGGCCGTACTGGTGGAAGGGGGGGTTCTCCATCAGAGGGGGCCGGTGCAGCAGCGGCGCCTGCATGTTGTTGTGTTGGTGTGCGTGTGGGTGTTGTTGCTGGTATTGCTGCTGCTGCTGCTGCTGGGAGGAGAAGGTGCGGTGGGGGTGGTTGCCACCGGCCATGGCCTGGTCGAGGGGCGGGAATGAATGGGGAGAGGGGTCGTGGTGCGGCGCTGACGCCTCACGGTCACGATCGCGTTCTCTGTCACGGTCTCCCGAGCCCCAGTAGCTGTCCCTCTCTCCCCGGTCCCTCTCTCTGTCAGCGGGGCGTCCGGCACCGCTGCTGCTGCTGCTGTTGGCCGCGTTCTGCTGTGCGTGTCGGCCCCACTTCTGGCCAATCGATGAAGAGGGTGGCAGCAAGGACAGGCCGAGAGAGGTGGAGGGCAGAGGACGGGATGGATGGCTGCTGCAGGTGGGCGGTGGCTTGCTCTCCCGAACCACAGACCTGACAGGGCGGGCACACACAAGCACAGAAATGGTCATGGCGTGTGGTGAAGGATTTACAATCTCACTCACTGTGCTCACCATGCGTCAGCGACGAGTTCTTCAGTGATCTTCTCGGGTGCCTTGGTGGATGGCCTGGGCGGCGGCTCAAAAATGGCGGCGCTCTCCTCGTCATCCTCAACGTCAGCCCACGCCACACGCGGCTTCTCCTTCCTCTCGACCTCAGCCGCACTCGCGTCGGGGGGTGGTGGTGGTGGTGGTGGTGGCTGGGGCGAGTCGCCCTCCCCACCATCGGCACCATCACCGTCCACATGATGCCTCTTGCTCCGATCATCACTCCCCCGCCCCGGTCCACCCGCGTTGTCCTCCTCATCTCGGCCGTTCTTGACTGGCGTGACCACTCTTTCCGTCTCGGGATCGGAGTCTCCCCGGTGTTTGTCGGCTGACTTCTGCGGCGTGCCGTTGGAGCTGCCCGCCTGCGACGAGTTAGAGAGGGAGGGGAAATCCACCGGGCGGAGGTTGACCGCCTGCGCCGCGTCAGACCTGCCGCTGGAGTCTGCTGCGGCCGCCGATGCTGATGAGCCCCACGCTCTGAACGCGTTGCCCCCTGGCCGCAGCTGCATCTTCTTGGCAGCGTCGCCCCGGTCCTTGTCGCGCTCACGTGGTGACAATGAGCTGGATGGCCGGTCCAACCCGCCGACGGCCCACACGGATGAGCCGCTACCGCCCTCCCTGCTCTCGGATGGCTCGCTGCGCCGCTGCTCGCCCTCCTTGCCCTCTCCTTTGGGCAGCAGCAGGTCCGTGAGCCGGCCGGGCAGCTCCGGAGTGGGCGAGGAGTTGCGGGTGGGAGGGGAGAGCTTGCCCCATCCGGGCTTCTCGAGGGTGTTAGCGGCGTTGGCGGTGCCCAGTGCCGCGTTGAAGGGTGTGGTGGTCACGGCGCCTCCCTGTGCGGCCATGCTGGGAAGGTTGACCGGCACCGGTGCCGCAGGAGTCTGCAGGCGGGACAGCGGCCCTCTCGGCGGCCCATTCCACGTACCTCCCCTTCCTGCAGGCATCGACTCACACCAAGCCACACAGAGAGAGGCAGAGGAATGAGGCACAGACAGTCTGTGACTGACGAGACAGCCTTCCTTGCATCATATCATCATCCATATATCCAGACATGCACGGCTGACTGACATGCACCAGCTGCTCTGTGATGCAGACCGTGCTGTTGTCCCATCCCCCTGACTCACCTGGTCCGTTCCCAGCGGCAGGTCCGCCTCTCCCTCTGTTGCCAGGCGGCTGCGACATGCTCGCCCTGGCCTCGGCGACGGCGAAGCTGTGCTGGTAGTCCGCCACAGAGTGTCTCTCCCGGCCGTGGGACGCTGTAGCGACGGGAGCGCTCGCAAGGTACGCGCCGACTGCGTCTGACGACGCACGCTTCTCGCCACCCAAAACAGCTGCAGTGAAAGGGGATGGAAGAAGCCTATGCCCAGGTCAGACAATCAGAAAAACAGGAGAAGACGTCCCTCCTCCCACAGCTCGAAGCTCGCAAAAGCTGGAGGGAAATGATGAGAGACGAGAAGGGCGCGTGACTAGCAGGAAAGCTTTTCCAGGTGGAAGGACTGAGTTCACCTTGTTCATCTGCTCTTGCTTGAGCGAGCCGCGTTGTGACTGACTGATGGAGGCCACCAAGACGGCCGTGGCCGCATTCGTGTGCGGTGCGGCGGTGGGCGCTGCATCGACGTACATTGCGACGAGGCATCTGCTGCCGACCAGGCCGCAGCGGGAGGAACACACCCAGAAGCAACAGCTGCAGCAGCAGGAGGGCGAGAGCGTCCTCTTGAGTGACACAGGAGAGCTGACAGACAAAGAGCCAACAGACAAAGGTAGGTACCAAACTCACAGGCAGGAACGACGCACATACACGTGTCGTGTCATGGGTGTGTTGCTTGATCGGTCCCTCCCTCAGCGTCGGCCGAAGGGGAGGAGATGGCGGCTGCATCCCCCATTCCGGCGGCAGGGGACACGCAGCCGCCCGAGGTGAGTTCCGACACGACCCATGAGAGCGGCGGCCACGCCGCCAACGGGCAGGAGGGCGACGTCCCCGACAACGCCAACGAGAACTGTCCTGGCACAGCCAGTGACAGTGCCGGTACGTAAGTCCCAGAGAGGGAGAGAACCAACCGGCTGACTGACTTGGTGTGGCGGTTGGTTGGTTGGTCCGCTCCATTCAGGCAAGTCGGCTGCGTGTGCGGGGTGTCCGAACCAGGCTGTCTGCGCATCGGGAGAGGTAGGTAATAGACAGACAGACAGACAGACGGCAAGAACGAACGAACGAACGAACGAGTTACCCGATGAACGGGGAGTGATCGGATCGTCACTGCTGCTTCCTTCCATATGCATGGGTGTATGTGCACGTGTGTGTATCAGGCTCGCAAGCCCGACCCAGCCATCAGCGAGGTGCATGACAAACTTAAAAGCGTCAAACACAAGGTGGGTGAGGTGCGGACACACAAACGGACAAACGGACGGGCCTACAGCACGCACGCGACAATCATTCTTGTGTATCCGTCATTCACTCACGACAGATCTTGGTACTGTCGGGCAAGGGGGGTGTAGGCAAGTCGACTGTGTCGGCACAGCTAGGTACACATGTACCCTCACTCGGAGCAACAGAGCAGTCCTGTTCAGCTCAGCTCGTGAATGAATGAATCATCTGTGTGCCGTGCGTGGTGTGGTGTGGTGTGCAGCATATGCTCTGGCGGGTCGGTCTCACGAGGTGGGCCTCCTCGACATCGACATCTGCGGGCCGTCAATACCACGGCTGCTGGGTGGGTCCATGCATGGACATGACACTCACCGACCCGACCATGTGATATGTGATGTGTGCCCGCCTGATGTGGCTGATGGGTGTGTGCAGGTTTGAGTGGGCAAGAGGTGCACTCGTCCGCAGCTGGCTGGTCGCCGGTCTATGTCGATGAGAACCTCGCCGTCATGTCTATCGGTAACACACCCACACACCCAAGCTGACAGATTGGATTGCAATCATCACGTTTCTCTCTCGGTCCATGTGTGACACCGTGTGGTGTGCAGGGTTCTTACTGCCCAACCAGGACGACGCAGTGATATGGCGAGGTCCACGCAAGAACGGGCTGATCAAGCAGTTCCTGACGGACGTGGCCTGGGGCGACCTGGACTTCCTCATCGTCGACACGCCACCGGGCACCTCCGACGAGCACCTGTCCATCGTCACCTACCTCAAGGAGGCACAGGTAATCCAACACGTGGGCAGTCTCCCTCCCTGCCTCCCTCCCTCCCTGACGCACGAACCACCATGATGGCGGGTGCGGTGCATGTGTGTCGTGTGTCAGGTTGACGGTGCTGTGATCGTCACGACGCCCCAGGAGGTGGCCATGGCCGACGTGAGGAAGGAGATCAACTTCTGGTACTCATGGCCATATGCGATCGATGCCCACCTGTGCAGTGCAGTGGACACACACACGTGTGTGTGTGGCGCACCGCTCCGCACGTATGTTAGTCATGTGTGTCTGGTTGTGTGTCGTGTTGTGATGTGTGCTGTGTGCAGCAAGAAGGTTGGTGTGCCCATCCTGGGGGTGGTCGAGAACATGGCCGACTCGATATTCCAATCACCACTCGGCGGACCAAAGGTCACTCAAGACACACCTACAACACACACACTTGCACACACGCCATGGGTGTCGGTGTGTCTGTCTGTCGTCAATCACACAGATCATGTGTGAGAAGATGTCGGTGCCGTATGCCGGCTCCATCCCGCTGGACCAGCAGGTCATGCTCGCCGGCGAGCTCGGCAAGTCACTCAGAAAGGTGAGACCAATACAAACATACACACACACCCGCTGACACGCAGACTGACAGACAGACAGTCAGCTGACCCACACAAACACGCCACCGACAACCACCCTGGCAAGTAAGTCTGTATCCATCCTCATCCTTGCGCTTGTGTGTTGGATGGGTGTGTCATGTCAGATGGCGCCCGAGTCTAGCTCCGTGGGCCGCATCGAGAAGGTCGTCGACAACATCCTCACCCGCCTGCCCATACCGATGAGATGATGATTTTCAGAGGCCCCGCCCCCATGGAATGGACGGACGGGGCAATCAAAACTGCGTTCGTTCGTGTGCGTGTGACTTTTTCAGCAGTGTAGGCAGGCCGGCAGGCAGACAGACAGGCCGCAAGGGGCGTCACGCGCGCGTCAGGCCACCGTGGATGCGCGTGTGGGCGGTTCTGGGGTGGTGGGTGGGTGGGTGGGGGGGTGGTGGGCTGGTTGGGTGACTGCGTGTTGGGCGGATTGGATTGATGGAGAGCCTCATGGCTATGACGCACCGACGGACGGACGGACGAATCGAATGACAGTCACGGCATTATGCAAGTACAAGAACGATGGATGGAGGGATACCAATATTGGTTGGTATGGTGTTCACTCACTGGGGTCTTGACTGTACACACACACACACACACACACACTCACACACACGAGCAAATAGCATCAATCCACCAGGCAGGCAGGCAGGTAAGGCAGCGAGGGAGGCACAAACCAGCAGTGAATAAACCCACCCGTCTGCCTGTCTGTCGGGAAACTTCACAAGAGGGGAAGTGTGCCCTCTTCCATCCCCGCCATGCTCCCCTATGAGAGACCGCCGAACCAGGGGGTCTCTGATCAGGTAGCATGGCGAGGATGAAGAACGCACACGCCTTCACCCCATCTGCATCGAAGCACCCCACCCCATCTGCATCGAATCACCCGGTCCCTCCAAAAGGATATCAGCCATCGAACACACAAGAAAAATACCATCGCTTGCTAAGGCACTGTGTCAGTCAGTCGGGCATGCACCACGGACAGGGAGTCACAAGACACACACGCCTTCTGAATTAAACCTGCCCGCACCAATCGTTGTCTGTCTCCCCCATCACTCGTCAGACTGCGTGCCGCCCTCTGCCCTTAGCTGGTGTGGTGTCAGTCGCTGGTTGGTGTGTGTCAGCTGCCGCCTCCGAGGTGGGGGAAGCAGTCGGTCACGGAGCTCTTGGGGTGCTTGGACTCGGCGTGCTGGTTCAGGATGGACGCACTGCTCGTCCCCATGAACTGCTGCTTGCAGATGCTGCACACTATCGTCAGCGCCTTCTTGTTGGCGTCAAGCTGAGAACACGCACCTGAACCGCATCGCATCGCATCCCGGTTGCAACAGCCGTGAACACACGACGACGGCATATGACATTCGTGTGTGTGTACCTACCCTTGGGAGCTTGCTTGGCCCGTGCCGCCGCTCGCTGACGGTCCTTGTCACGCTGCACCAAGCCACAGAAGGAACGAGGGACACACGATTTGACGGACGTCATACAACTTTTTCGCCAGAGCCTTCTGGGTGCTACTTGATTGCCGCGCGTCATGACGACGACCGCTGCTACTGTCCCTTGCGCCGCCTGCTTCTCCTCTTCTCCTCTTCCTTCCTCTTTTTTCTCTCTCTGTTGCGAGCTCAGTGCGAGCTGACAAGACAGTGGCGTTTGGGGCGTTTGGTGTTGCGGTTATGGATTCATAGCAACGATGATGGCATTGCGACGCTTGCCATGGGCAGCATCTCCTCCTCTGTGCAGTATGGCTGTGCCATGCGCGAGGCAGGCGGCTCGGTGTTTCTCGTCAAGGCAGCCGCTGACGGTGTTCTCAGAAGGTCCACACATACGCACACACACAGCCGGCTTTCTGTGATGAAGTTGCGGCAGATCGATCTACTTTGGTGTGGTAAACGTTTTGGGCCTGCCTGCTTGTCTGCAGATCAGAGGATGCTTCAGGAGACTGTGAGGAAGTTTGCAGTGGAGGTGGGTGCAATCCGACAGACACGATGAATGCACAGACAGCATCACAGAAATGCATTGCAATTGATGGTCAAGGAAAGGACTGTGTTCAAACGTCTTGTGACTGACCCTCTCTCTGATTCTGCCTGCCTCTGTCTGCAGCAAATCGGTCCGTTGGTTCACAAGATGGACGAGCAGAGTGCCTTCGACCCATCCATCGTGCCCGCCCTCTTTGAACAAGGCAGGCAACCACTAAGCAGTGATTCACTCACTCAGCAACAGCACAGCACACCCCTTCACACATAGCTATCAATGCATTGGCACGTGTCTGTCGTTTGTTTGATTTGAACAGGTCTGATGGGTGTGGAGATCCCGGCCGAGTACGATGGGAGTGCGATGGGGTTCGTCGAGGCGTGCCTGGTGGTCGAGGAAATCGCCAGGGTCGACCCTGCTGTGGCCGTCATGGTCGACATTCACGTGCGTACGGAGGCTGGCTGGCTGCCGCAATCAGTGACGAGAGGAAAGTGATGTGATCGATGTGTGATGTGATTCGTCGTGTGTGTGTGTGTGTGTGTGTGTGTGTCTGGTGTCTGTCTGGTATACCACACTGACTGCAGAACACTTTGATCAATCGGTGTCTGTACGTCTTCGGCACTGACGAGCAGAAGAAGGAGTACCTTCCAAAACTCGCGACCAGTGACTGAGAATGCAATGAATGAATCAACGAATGCACTAACTAACGGCATAATCACTCACTGTTCTGTGAATGAGCACTGCAGACACTGTTGGTTCGTTCTGCCTGTCGGAGGCCGGCTCTGGGTCAGACGCCTTCGCGCTGCAGGCCAGGGCGAGGGAGGTCGACAACGGATACAGAATCACAGGTGGGGTGCGGGTGGGTGAGCATGATGGATGGACGGGCACATAAGAGCTGACCCGAGGGGGCGGCTGGATCGCATTACACTCATGCCGTGCCGTGTGGGTCTGCAGGTGTGAAGCAGTGGATATCCAACTCGAAGGAGGCCGGCCTCTTCATCGTGTTTGCCACTGTCGACCCCGCCAAAGTGAGCACACACACACACACACGCACACACGCGCGCATTCGGTACATATTGATTTTATGTGTGTCAGAGGCACCGCGGCATCACTGCCTTCCTCGTCGATGCGGGCACACCAGGCCTCGAGATCGGTGAGCCCAGGCTCAGACACCCGGGAAGCCGGACCACTTAACGTGGTGTGGTGTGTGGATGCGTGTAGGCCAGAAGTATGACAAGCTCGGCATTCGGGCGTCGTCAACTTGCGAAGTCATACTCAACGACGTCTTTGTAAGACCCTCAAAGACCCTCACACGCACACCCCACCAGATAGACACGGAAGTGACAGACATAACTTGGCTGTGTCTCTGCGCAGGTGCCTCGCGGGAAGGTGCTGGGCAACGTGGGCGAGGGCTACAAAGTGGCCATCGAGAGCCTCAACGAAGGAAGGATTGGTATGTAGGTGGAGAAACCGACACCGACATCCACGAACACAGAGATGGATGTGCCGATCTATCTATCTGTCTTATGTCAATCAATCGTCTGCCCGTCTGCATGTTGATCTGCTCGATCAGGTATAGCGGCTCAGATGGTTGGTTTGGCGCAGGGCGCCTACGACGTGGCGCTGCCGTACATTCACGACAGGAAGCAGTTCGGATCGCGAATCGCAGACTTCCAGGGCATGAAGTTCCAATACGCTGAAGTGAGTGGAGGGGGAGCAGGCAGACAACACACACTTACCCCTGCTCTCTCGTTCCGTGAATGTGTGTGTGTGTTAGGCTCGTATGGAGCTAGAGGCAGCCCGTCTGTTGGTGTACAACGCTGCGGCGCTGAAGGAGGCCAACATGCCCTTCACCGCCGAGGCGGCCATGGCCAAACTTTACGCTGGAAGGGTCAGCCAGACATACAGGCCCCACACAAACAGCAGGAGCAGACAAGACAAGAGGTCTCACCTCTCGTGTGCCGGCGTGTGTTTGTGTAGGTGGCTGAGAGGATAGCATCGCAGTGCATCGAATGGCTCGGTAGGCAGGCACGTCATGTCATGTCATGCACACAGAGGGCAAAAGACACACGCATAAGGGCAAATTGGCGGGGCGTGCGGCGTGTGCAGGTGGGTACGGCTTCACCAAGGACTACGCAGTGGAGAAGTTCTTCAGAGGTGACTGACACGACACTGGCACAGGACAGCACAGCCAGCCCAACAGCCGCCTCCTTGGCTCACTCGTTGTGTGTGTGGATGGGATGCGTACGCGCAGATTCGAAGATCGGTTCCATTTACGAGGGCACGTCGAACATTCAGCTGGAGACCATTGCCAAGCTGATACAAGCTGACTACAAATCATCATAGACACGACGAACAGATAGATGCGCATGAGGGTGGGCGGGTGGTGGGCGGGTCATCAGCGTGTCAAGGGGGGCCGGGCTAGTGTGCCTGTCTGCCTGCCTTGTGTGTGTGTGTGTGTGTGTGTCGTGTGTGGGGGTTTTGTAGTCGTGTAGTGCGCGCCGCATCGTAGTAGGAACGGCGTGGAGAGGAGCCGGAACGGTCCTTTGACAGATATCTTGTGTTACATGCATGGGAATTGTCGCCAATTGCCGCTCTAACACATAAGCTGCGTAGGCCGATCGCTGCCAAGCTCGCGAAGGGAACGACGCCAGTTAGTCGAGTTTGTGCACCATCAGCATCCTAGGTTGAGGCCCCGATGTATCAGGCCAGAGATCATCGGCCCAAAACTGTATGGCAGCCGCCCACATTGCCGCCTGCAGGAGCCCTGGCGCTGAATGTCCATAGGAGGGGCAGCAGTGCTCAACAGGGGGAGAAGGAGGCCACACACAGGTGACAAGAAGGATCCTCCACCTACGTTTGGTAAAATCTGTCCATGTTTTGTCCTCTTTTCTGTATGTGTTGCGTTGCGTCCGTTCAGTCGCCCGCCGCTGCCCATTGCCCATGTGTTCCCCTCTGCGCCGTACCTATCGCATCACCCGGCACCTCCACGGCCACATATACACAGCCGAGGGTCGCCCCTACACATGAGGACCGCCGACTACAGCGGCAGCGGCAGCGCCCGACACAGAGTGCGGTCCACTGAGCGGCCGGTGTACGCCAAGCAGTCGACCTTCCCTCAGGCGCATGGACAGCCAGTGTCAGTGCAGCAGCACAGCGGCGCGTTCCTTTCCCCTCTCGGCCCCCTCTCGCCCAGGCCGGCCGCCATCATGGGCAACAACCAACATCACCAGGTTGTCTGCCGCCCGCTGCCCCCGTTCCCTCTCTACCACACACACATCACCACAGCTGTCACGGCCAAGCCGCCGCCTCTGCCCACCCCCGTGCCCTTCCCCCTGTCCTCGCAGCGGCCTCCCATCGGGGCCCGCGAGATCGACCACGCTCGGAGTGCCGGTGAGATCGGGCGGAGTCAGCTGCCTCGTGAACAGGAGAGGAAGATCAGCTGGCGGGGCATGTGGGAGGAGGAACATCGGCACATTCAAAGTCAGAGCCAGAGAGGAGGTAGTGGTGGCGATGATGTTTCAGTGCGATCGCATGCCACCGCTGGTGGTGCTGTTGGTGGTGGAAGTGCTGTTTTGGCGGCTGCCCGAGTGGATGAGAGCGGTCGGGGCAACGGGGGCGATGGCAATGGGGAGGGGGATGAAGGCGCGGCGGAGGGCGAGGCCGACGAGGACGATTACGAGGGGGAAGAAGGTGAGGAGACACACCGTCGATCGAGATACGCATTCGACACATATGGGTGCATCGCATCCTGAATGAATGCATTGGTCAGATGAGTATTACGAGGGTGAGGATAACGGCGGCCAAGAGGGGGGCCATGAGGGCGATGGCAATGCGGACGATGACGGTACGCACATAGCCGTCCATCCATCCATCCAGATGTGTCCGTCCATCTGCGTATGTGTGGTCAGGTGACGGTGGAGATGATGATGATGAGGATGGTGGCGGTGAGGACGACTACGGCGAGGAGGAATGGGAAGAAGAAGAGGAAGAGGAGGAGCAGGAAGGTACGCAACAAGACCCGCAGACGCCCACACTGTCCATATGCACGTCGACTTATGCCATGTCTCTCTGCCTTCCCCGTTCTGCCTGCCCATTCTTCCAGAGCAAGAGGGCGAGGAGGCTGCGGAGGGAGAGGGCGAGGGCGAGTTCATAGAGGGCGAGTACGAGTACGGCGACTATGGCGAGGAGGAATACGGCGAGGAGGGGCTGGAGGAACAGGAGGAGGAACCATATGAAGAAGAAGAAGAGGAAGAAGGTCACACACAGACACAGACACACATCCACATCCACAGAGAGACATACATGATGGGTGTATATATAATGTCGGATAAATGCTCGTGGCTCATGGACGCAGTGATTGTGCCGGTGGGCCACACCGAGGAGGAGAGGGAGGAAGAGGAAGAGCAAGAGCAACAACAGGAGGGCGAGGCGTTCCCTCAGACACAAGAGGAAGAAGAGCCGCACCGGCAGCTAGGAGAAGAGCCTCCACCTCCCCACACACAACCGATCACACCACAGGTACCTGTGGTGTGTTAGGTCAACCCCCAGACCACCAGATACACACCTATACACGCGCACAGGAAGCAAGGAAGGAAGACACGCATGGTTTGTTTGTCTGCAGGAGCAGGCGGCCCCACCGCCACCCCCACTGGAGCCCCCCAAGCAGTCCATCGCACCGCCCAAAAGACAGCCATCGGCCGCTCGCAAACAGGTCTGTTCCAGCCACATACATACAGACAGACGGAACCAGCAGCCTGTACGTGTGTGCGTGGGTTGACGCAGGAGCACAAGCCCGCTGCTGGTGTTGCTGGTGGTGCTGGTGATGCTGGTGGCGTTGTGCCCCCCTCGTTGGTGTCCGTAGCTGTGCCCATGATTGCGACTGAGCCGAGCATGCCGTCCATCAGCGCGGCGCAGATGGCCAAATCAGATGACAGCAGTGGTGCCGGTGAGTGATGGGCAAAGAGGGAGGGGAGAGGTCTAGACGGCCACATATGTCCCTGTCTGTCTGTGTACGTACTTGTGTTCTGTGCAGGTGACCAGCGTTTGGTTGCGTTCAACCGTCTGTTGGCGTCTGGCGTCTCGCCCATGAGTGCGCTCGACATTGTCCACAGCCTCACCTCTACCAACGTGCAGCAGCAACATCAACAGCCCGCAGTTGCCGCACAGGTTCGCGCGCGCGTGTGTGTGTGTGTGTGTGTGTATGAGAGTATTTACTGTGGGTGCCAGACCAGACCAGACCATCTATGTGAGTGTGTGTGTGTGTGTGTGTTCGTGGTGGTTGTCAGCAGGCTGCTGCGGCTGCTGCACAGGTGCCAGCTTTGCCGTCGCTGCGCGACCTGTTGTCGTCGTATGCCTCCATCGGCATCGCTGCCGCCAGTGCTGTGCAGTCGCAGAGAGACGCACGTACGCACACACACGCACACACATACCCATTCACTTACTTACGTGTGTGTCGTCTTGATCCATTTGAGCAGCTCCAGTGTACCAGCCGCCGGCGTATGACGAGTACGAGAGTGAGGAGCAGGCAGTGCCGCCCATCACAGTGGCGCAGCAGGTGTCGCACACGCGGCCCCCACCGTCCCCCTTCCCTCCTCCGATGTATGCCGACCGGTTCCGCTCGCCGCCACCAAGACTCCTGTCGGCAAGCCCTTCATACCAGGTAGGTACCTTTGGGATGGATACGTCTCTGTGGACGAGTGTGTCCGTGTACTTGTGTCAGCTGCCCACGTATGCGCCCCTGCCGCAGCGGCGCACTCGGGGCTTTCTCACTCAGCGCGAGGGCCGCGAGGTCAGCCGGACACACACACAGAGACACAGAAGCCTGGTAGGTATGGCTGAGTGGATGGCTTGATGCGTGCGTGTAGAGCGCGCGTGACGTGCGGAGCATCACGACTGAGGAGAGGGTGTCCCCCCTGCTGACGGAGAGGAGAATCCGCGACACACCGCTGCTCACAGGTACACCCCCCCCCACACCCCTCTGGCTCTCCCCATCTCTCCCCATCCACACTGACATGACATCTACTCGTCAATAACTGCTCTGACGCATAAACTGGTGGATGGCTGAGTGCAGCCCGTCGTCGCGAGCCGGTTCCGCTGCCAGTGCCGCCGCCCATAGTGCTGGACACCAAGATGGGCACACTCGAGGGCGAAGTGGAGAGGGAGACTCTCGGTGATGGTGGCGTGGAGCGGCAGAGGAGCATGCAGCTCACGGAGGCAGCTGAAGACACTGACAGAGGTAGGGAGGGACCGGTGGGCTGTCCATGCACACGAGTCCGTGTGTGTGCATGTGTTCACCTCTCCGTCTGTGCCTCTATCTCTCTGTGTCTCTTTGTTTGTGCGCAGAGTTGGATCGGCGGCGCCCTGCCACGGCGAGGGGCGACTTCTCCTCACCTGGTACGTCCAAGTGACTGAACTGACACCTAGATAACGTCACGGCAGTGGAGGGCAGGGTAGCAGGTGTGTCTGGGGGGCTGACCGTGTGTTGTTGTTGTGTGCAGCTAGGGAGATCTACCATCCGCCGCCCGAGCCGTCGATATACGAGGAGCGTGAGGAGCATGAAGATGCACATGCTGAGGAGGAGGGTGCGGAAGAGGATGAGCAGGAACTGCCCAGCTCGGTCAGTCAGTCAGTTGGGCTCAGTGGGCGGGCGTGTGGCGTACCCAGTGAGTGAACACACAACAGACAGATACTCACTCTGGTTGGGTGCTTGTTTTGTGTGGTGTGCGCCGCGCCTCTGTCATTGATATGTCGTGTGGTGTGGTGTGGTGCAGTCGCATTCGGTGAGGGGGGTAACCATGATGGACCTGCCCCCACCATCAGGGGTGCCGGTGTCGCACGTCAGCCAGAAATTGCTGACACATCCCATCTGATCTGTCTGTGTCTGGAGACATCGATACTTGTATGTCTGTGTGTGTGTGTGTGTGTGTGTGTTTAGGTGCCGTTGTCCTCGGCCGTGCCGCCCTTGTCTCTGCAGCAGATCATCGCACCGCCACCGGCTGTCTCAGGTGAGGGAGGGAGGGAGTGGTCACATTCGTGATGCACACCCGCAGACGCAAACTGTGTGGCATTCATTCATTGTGTGGTGCACTGACTGCAATGCAATCATTGCAGCCCGTCCGTTAGTGCATCCTTACGTGAGTGGCGGGCTCTCGTCGAGTGTGCTGTCCGTCAGTAACCATGGTGGTCAGGTGCGTGTGGTCTGCACCGCCCCGCACACAGCCATGCACAGCACACACACACGAATGATCTCTCCCTGTATGTGTCAGTCGCCTTTGGCCTCCCACCGGCCGTCGATCGTCCTGTCGCAGCAGATACAGAGAGCCCTGTCCAAACGCGACTCAGACGTCAGTACAGACAGCACACACAAAACCACCAAAGGCCACACTGTGGACAAACACACATAGCACAGAGAGAGGACACATGACAGACGGACGCGTCGAATATCTGAACCAACGCCTGGATGGGATGCGGTGCGTCGGGCTGGGCTGCGTGCAGCAGTCCGCTCGTGGCGGCTCTTCTTCGCTTCTGTTGTCTCAGCAGCAGCAGCAGCAGCAGCAGCAGGCGGCAATGGAGGCGGCCCCTCCACAGACAGAGGAAGAGCCAAGTGAGCAAATAGATACAACAAATGTCCTTCCGCATTCTGATGTGCGTGTGTGTGCGGTGCGCGTGTGGGTGTGGGTGTGGGTGGACTGTAGGGGGCGGTGTGTGTGAGGAGGAGGACAGGCCGTCCACCGTGCCGTCTGTCCCCAGCAGGCCGCTGATCGACCTCGGTCGGTAAAGTACACGCACATCGCACAATGATGCAGTGAGTGCAATTCATGTGTCTCGGCCCGCAATTATCAATTTTCGATTGCATTCACTGCGCAGACAACATGCCAGTGGGTGTCAAGTCGCACACGCAGGACGAGTGGTGGTACGCTACGCTACGCTACGCGCGGCGCGCACAATGAATACGCAGAAAGCAATCAATGCACACACACGCGCACATCCATCGGATGTGCGTGGCGTGGACGCTATGCTGCAGGCGCGACGAGTCAGGCGGGCCGCAGGAGGCCGAGCAGCGAGTGCCCTGCATGTACTGCGGACGGTACGGTGACCGCACTAAAGCAAACCCTCACACAGATCAGAGAGAGACATGACACACACGCCGGCCTGCCTCCTTGTGGAATGCCTGCCTGCTGTTGGCTGGGCTCGTTAACTCAGTCGGTTCCTGTCTTCTCGTCTTGCCAAGCATGAGTCCATTTGCGGCAAACACCACGTACCGTACCCACACAAACACCACACCACACCACACCACACACATATATGTGAATGTCTGTGTGTCTGTCTGTCTGTCTTTGTGTGTGTGTGTGTGTGTGTGCGTCACTGTCACTGTCACGCACGTCACGTGACACGTCACACAGGAGAAGGAGGAGTCGGGTGTCGGTGTCCACCCCCACCGCGGCCCCAGCCCCCCAAGGATGCAGCGCTACCTGCAGAGCAAGAAAACACACTACAACCTGCCCACCGGCACGCCGGACAGACTCAGACGGCCGCCATCACGACTTCCCTCGCCACGTACGTATCGTAACGTAGCCATCCATGCCATGGACACATACCTACCACACGTCTGTGGTTTGGTTGCAAGATGTGATGGCACAAAGGCAGGCAGGCAGGCACATTTCATTTGTGTGTGTCAATCATTGTGTGTCATTCAGGTTTGCAAGACCGATCCATTGACCCCCTCCGTCTGTACGACACCTACGAGACGTGCCCCTACTGCAAGAGGCAATTCGCCCCACAAGTCATCGCGGGTATGTACATGTCATGTGCCTGCCCAGCACGTCACATCACGTGGTCACATATATCGGTGTCTGTCCCTCTGAGTGTGTGTCATGTTTCTCTCTCTTTAGCTCACGAGGAGTTGTGTGCGACTGTCCGCAAGTACGAGCAGCGCGACGCACGGGACATCCTCCCCTCTCCCAGACTCGACCTCAAACACATAGCCGCAAAAGGTACGCATGCACGCAACGCACAAACACGCCATCCATCCATCCATCCATCCGTGTGTCTCCCTCCTTCCCTGCCTGTGTGTGTGTCTCTGTAGTTCCCTCGCACAACGCCCCCATCCCCTCCCCCCCGCCACGCAAACCTCCACAGCACCCCTCTCCTCCAGACCGCAAGCACACGTCAGAGAGAGAGTCGCGCGAAGCAGACAGAAGGACATCGACAGCATCAGCATCATCGGCCAGGAGGACGTCTGCCTCACTCACCAGGCGAGAGAAAGAAACCCCGGCCTGTGGCAGAGCCGGCAGTGCACCCAGTGGGCGCGCATCCGTCGACCGTGGTGGTGGTGGGCAGCCCGCTCCCTCTTCCTCCCCCTCTCTCCAGCTCCAGGCTGAGGACGACCACATGCCCTCGCCATCGCCGCCCCCCGTCCCCCACCAGCAAGAGGGAGAGGGAGGGAGAGAGGGAGAGGACGCGGAGCAAGAGGTCATCTCACTAGCAGACCCACCTTCGCCATCCCAATCGCCCAGCAGGAAGGCTCCCCCTCTCTCTCGGCCGCCGAGAGAGAGGCGGAGGGGTGGCGGGGCGGCCGGCAGAGGCAATGCTGCTGCAGCAGCAGGAGCAGCAGCAGCAGCAGCCGCCACGGCTGCCCCACACACACAGAGGAGGACAAGGCGTGAGAGTGAGCAGTCGGCGGCATCGTCGTCATCGGTTGTGTTGAGGGGTGGGGCTGGGAGGGGCGGGAGGGGGGCAGTGCCAAGGGCTGGTGGGAGTAGTGGGGGTGGTGGGGTTACCAGGAGGGGCAGGTGATAGATAGACAGACGCGACATGTGTGTGTGGGGGGTGGGGGCATCCTCGCATGGCAAGGAGGCATGAGTGAGTGCATTGAGTTGAGGGAGGGTCGGCTGGAGAGACAGACAGAGTTGTAAAGGGTTGCAACGTGTTTGTCAAGAAGTACGTGTGTTTGTGAGTGCCTGTGTGTGACCGACCCTTTATCTTATTGACCCTTGCCATTGCCATGCCGCTCGTTTTGTGTGTGTGTGTGTGTGACTCTTATCGACCCTGAAATGATCGAACGAGTCGATGGATGGATGGATGTCGCCATGCTGCAGTGCACAGCAAACAATCAAGGCTCTCACGGTGGACGGGTACACTTCCGTCCACACAAACAAAGTCGCACGCACGCACGCCTGCCACATCCATCCATGTGTCAGTCAGAGAGCATCTTCACCAACACTAATATAGCACGACACACGGCCTGCCTGCCTGCCTGCGCGCCACCCACTCACTGACACCAATCAACATAAGAGCGTGCGATCACCACACACACACACACACACACACACATGCCCTACTAAGTACTAGACGCCTGTCCACCACCATGATCCATGTCCACCTGCAGCCGCAGCACCATGGGCTCCCCATCAGGTATCACCACACCCAGCCCCTCGTCGCCCACCACGAAGCACTGCGGCCCCTCGGCATCAGCCAGCGGGGCCTGGTACAGCCGCCCGGGCAGCGGCCGGCTGTCCTCGAGCTCATCGACGGCCGTGTCGCTGTGCCGAGGCGGGCCGAACGGCTGGAAGCAGCTCTTGAGGAATGAACGGCTGGTCTTGCTGTAGCAGCAGCCGTGCGCCTGTATTGTAAATATTGTATCCACAGATCCACCCACACAGCATATATTTCTCTTTCTCGTGTGTGCGTACGATGCATTCTTCTCGGGTCGCGTCGGGTGCGCCACAGGGGTGCCTGATGTCCTCCGGGGCGGCACACTCGCTTTGTGTGCGCGGCCAGAAGTCGTCACCCGCCATGTAGGTGGGGCGGAAGCACCACGGCACGCCCTTCGTCGCAGTGGGCCGGAAGCAACAGCCCTGGGCCTGCAAACACACACACACACAGACGCAAGGCACTCTCTCTCCCTCCCTCTCCCTGTGTGTGGCAGACGTACGGCGCATTGTGCAGCGGTGGCCAGGTGCATGTCGCCACAGGGCCTCCTGCTCTCGCCAGAGACGTCGCACATGCTGGCGTCGCCGCCCGGCACAGCCACCGCATAGTAGCACCAGGGATCGCCACTCTCTGCTGTCGGCACGTAGCAACAACCCGCATCCTGAACGAACACACCACAGAGAGCGACGTCTCTCTCTCTCTCTCTGCTCCCCTGTCTGTCTGTCTGTCTGTCTGTGCAGCCACCCAGCACCCAACACCCGACAGTCACCCACCCACCCTGCAATCGGCCGTGCTCCCATCAGGCTTGCCACAGGGCACCTTCTCGGTCACGTGTTCACTGCCGCACCGTGCCGGGGGGAAGGGGATGACCGGCTCAGGCAGCCCCCGCACCAGATTCGTCTGGGCCTGGGCGGCCGCCGGCTCGCCTTCATGCTGGTTCAGCTGCCTGCCCCTCTGTATGCTCGGCATCTCTGAGCTGGGGAAAAAGCACCAGGGGCTGGCTGAGCCCTCGTGCGTGGGCATCCAGCAGCACCTGCCATCCACACACCCCACACACACCCACACCCACACGTGTGTGTGTTGATGGATGCGCTATGACGCTCTGTGTGTACGAACCCGTTGGCTTCGCATTCGCGTCTGTTGGTGCCGAAGGTGCCGCAGTCGCGCCGGTCGTCTCCGGTGAGGGCGCACATCTCTGCGGTGGGGAGGCGGCTGAGGGTGTTGTCGAGGAACCAGCTGCTCCCATTCGACGCAGCAGCCTCACGCTGATGCTCGGCCATACGGTCCTCGAGAGAGTCAGTCCTGTGTGCATTGAGAGTGTGTGCGGGGTGTGCTGTAGGTGGTCACTCACCAAGTGCCTCCTTGTTGGTAGTCGGCTCCCTCTGTGTTGGCCTTGTCTAAAGCCGCCGTCTCCGTAACGACCGATGACACGGTGGCCTTGTCCCCCGTCCTGGGGATGTCAATTATCGAGCACACCTGCGACAGACACACAGACGCGCACATTGCACACACACGTGCGTATTTATTGTGTGCGTGCGGCGCGTTTGGGGTCAGGTCACCTTGAGGCCAGGCTGGAAGTCTGGAGGCAGTTTGTAGAGAGGTATGTCGATTGAGGCGCTGTTGCCCCCACCCACATTGGTCGTGATGACCAGTATCCGCGACCCACGTGTGAAGGCGTACGTGCTGTCACTCACCTGACGCACACACCACACCACGACACGCCACGCACACAGGGATGCCCACCGCACACGATGGATGTGGTGTATTAGATATATGCGTGTGTTGTGTGCTCACCCAGATCTCCCTCTGGGGTCCGTCGAAGTCTCCCCGGATGCGCCGCCCGTTGAGGTGCGATATGAACTGGTAGATGGGGTGCGTCGTGTTGTAGCCGCTGTGCCACAGCGGCGCACGATTGGCGTTGTCACTCCCACCTGCACAGATAAATGTCGACACACACATCTCATCTCTCTCTCTGTCTGGGAATATATATTGTGGTGCGTGCGGTGCGCGGGAACCAACCGGTCGCAAAAGCCTGTTCGCTGCCATAGTAGATGACGGGAATGGCCTCGCTGGTGAGGACGAATGTTAGGGCGTTCCTGTAGAGGGCCATGTCGCTCTGCAGGTGGGCAAAACGGGTCTTATCGTGGTTGTCCAGGAATATACCCAGAGACGTCAGATCACTGGGGGCACGAAATGAAATGAGCAGACCAGATGCGGTGGCGGTGGGTGTGCCGCCATATATACGAATGCGCGTGTGTGATTATACCTACCGGTAGTGTCGTTTGGTCTCCGTCATGGCGTTGGCGATGTTCCACATCGACTGTCTCGAGGCGAAAGCCGCCCTCAGCGCCCAGAAGAGGGGGTAGTTGAGGACCCCGTCCAGCAGGCTGCCATAACTGTGGTCGTATTGGTAGGACGAGAAGTACTCTGTCGTCCGCCCGAACAGCAGCACCTCCGCCAACGTGAAGGTGGTGTTGACAAACGACTGCCTGAAGTGCACACCCACACCCACACCCACACACAAGGCGCTTGCGGCTCATTGATTGATGCGGACCTGAAGTCGACCCAGAAGGTCTTGGGGACGTAAGGGGTGGTGTCGATGCGGAGCCCATCGAACGAGTATTTGTCGACCAGACGGTGAGCCCAGTCGATCAGATACTCCCTGTAGTATAGGCGGGAGAAGAAGATGCACACACCCATCAGTGAGGCCAGGGGAGGGGAGGGGAGGGGAGTGCCACGCGCCGCGCCTCACCTGACGAATGGGTTCTCGTGGTTGAGGTCAGGCAGGTCGATGAGCCAGCACCGCTCGATGCTCTCCTGCTCGTCGTAGTCTATCGGACACGGAGGGTGGAAGTGACTGCTGCTGTTGAACGGCGACAGACCTGCCACACACACAAAGAGAGAGGATGGCCCACCACGACAATATATTGCAGCGAGGAGGAAGGCCGTCTGTTAAAGCGCTGACCCTCGTAGTGGGTGCCGACTGGTCCGACATGGTTGGTGACGACGTCGACCATCACCCATATGTCGCGCTTGTGCGCCGCTCTTGTGAGGGCCATCAGGTCGGCCTCACCGCCGAAATGCCCGTTCAAAGCTGACCAATTCTTTGTCCAATACCCTTGAAAACCACAGACACACACCACACAGGCAGACCCGTGTGTGTGCATCGGTGTGCGGGGCGTGTGTGTGCGTGCGTAGGTAGGTACCATGGTAGCCACACTCTGTGTTTTCTGTGACAGGTGAGATCCAAATGGCGTTGACATTGAGCCCCTCGAGGTAGTCCAGCTTGTCCGCCATGGCCCGCCAGCTCCCGCCGCAGTAGCTCCCGTACCGGCAGTCGCCCATGTCACACACGTCCTCCTCCGCCGCAAACCGGTCCGTCAGCACGTGATATATCACCCTCCTGCTGTCCGTCCACGCCGTCTTGGGCCTGCCTATCACGCCGCACACGCCCATCAAGGCCAGCAGCCACAGCAGAATAGCGTCGCTCGCAGGCGGCTGCCGTCTGCGTGAGGGAGAGGGGGGCGTTGTAGGGGGAGAGGGAGAGGGAGAGGGAGAGGGGTAAGGCGGACAGCTGCCGCGGCGATGTGGACTGACGTCAGGAGAAGGCGGGCACGGAGGGGCTGAAGGCGGCTCGGCGGCGGACTGGGAGACCGCCGCTTGGCGCGAACATGTCCTTGCTGCCGGCGATGCGCGTGTTTCCATTTCGAACGAGAGCTCGTCGCGAGAATAATGGGACGCGTGATATATTATTATTTCAGACTCGCGTAATCAAGGCTCCGAGGCGTTCCCGCCCCACAGGATGTGATACAAAGGCAACAAACAAGCCATTCACAGCCGACAAGTCCGCGTGGAATAAAATTGCCACGATTAAATGCACTGAAGCATGCACGAAACACGAGCAGGCAGCCCGCTCACTGACCCGCCCCTAATCGTCCATTTCGTCATAGTCATCACTGAACTCCTCATCAAAGTCATCCCAATTACTCTCCTCCCACCCCTCACCATCGTCAAACTCATCGCCCTCGTCATCGTCTAAGTCGTCCCCACTGCTGTCCGACGCCTCACCCTCCCCATCCTCCCCATCACCATGGTCGCTGGCGGCTGGCGCTGCTGCGGGTGGCGTCTGGAATGCTGCAGCGAGAGAGATGAACTCCCCATTGCTGTCGACATATCCCAGCTGCTGCCACTGGAACTGGCAGTCGCTATTGCCGAGGTCGGCGTTGAAGCCCTTCTCCACCCCCTGCAGTCCGTGCTGCGTCGCCTCGTCCAGCCGGGCCCGATGCACCACCTCACGCACACCCAGCAGCCGATGCTGCCCGCCGCCCTGCTGCCCCCCATTGGCGGCGAAGCACTGCAGGGGCGGCACCGTCACCTTGGTGCGCTTCGCCCCTCCCTCCTGCTGCACATACTGCGTCCCCCCGACCACCTTCCGGTTGCTGCTCGTCCGTGTGGCGCCCTGGCTGACGGAATGCAGCACAGCCGCATGGACGCGGCGCCTCAGCAGGGACTCGCCCATCAGGTATTCATCGATGGTCGCCACAGCAGCGGAGGGCTCGTGCAGGAACGCCCCAATCTTCCAGCCAATGCCTTCTGCCTCGTGTGGGCCGAATGAGAGGTTGGAGGGGGTTGGGTGGGGACGGGCGCCGTCATGATGGGGCGCCAGGGGTAGCAGACGGGCGAGCGTCATCGAGTGGTCGCGCTGGGGGGCGAGGGCGGCGTTGATGGCCGCCACGACCACATCGCCCAGCTCGTTGAGCACCTTCTTGTACTCCGCCAACACCCGTTGGTGACGGCGGCGGTCCTGTTGGGTTGCCGTGGGCAGCCGGGTGATGTCTGCCCCCGCTCTCAGCAGCACATTGATGGTGAGAATGTCATGCTGAATCCTTCCGACCCTCCACCGGGCCGTCTCGTCTTCATCCGCGAGACCGCCCTCCACCAGCACAGCGCCGCGATCCAGCTGCTCAGCAGCAACCATCAGAGGCGTGCGGTTCGGGCTGTGTGGCCCCCCTCTGTTAACTTGGGCAGCCGTGAGATGGCGGCACAGAGCGGCAGCTGCACGGTTGCACCCCAAGAGTGGTGCATTGAGCAATGGCGTCGACGAGACACCCGCTCTCATGACGTCCGCACCGTTGCTCACAATCAGGTCCATGTGGCTGTCGAAGAACTCCTGCGAGAAGACGGAAGGGGTGTCGCCTGACACCACCCGATCGGTCGCGAGGGTGGGGTCTCTCTGGATGAGCTGTCGGTAGAAGGACATCAGTGTGGCCTCGTGCTCCTTCGTCGGCGAGTCTTTGCTATCCAGCCGTGGCAGCCGCATGACCATCCGGCCCCTCAGCTGCACGCCCCGCTCAATCAAGAGGCGGAAGGCCCTCTCATTGCACGACGCGATGGCCACTCGAATGGGCCGCCGCCCGTTCAGATCATCAGCGGCTTCCCCGTTGATGTCTGCACCTCCCTCGAGCAGCGCGCAGATGATGTCATCCTGCAGCTCGGGTGTCCGCCACTTGGGCAACGCGACTGGATGCGGACCACGGCTGTCTGATGCCCAGATGGATGGGATGCCGTAGTCGGTCAGATTGTCAATGGCAAGCGCCAGGCATGGGAATTCCTCAGAGCCGGCCGGGTACCCACGCAGCCGCAGCGCTGGCATCACAGTGGGACCCGCCCCATCAACTCGAATGAGGTCGGCCACCTGCCGTGCGTCAGTGAAGGCACGAAGAAAGATGCCAACGCACAGGCGCTTCGTAGCCTCAATGGTGCCATGGCGGAAGACGGCGTTCACAGCCTCAATGCTCTCCCAGTGACGCGGCAGAGCCGGGCCCGCTGAAGATGACGAGCTCTCGGCCATCAGGGCAGGGCGTCAAGGCGCTGTCTGCACCACAACCACACACAGACAGGAAGGGCATGAAGCATGAACCGCCCATCTATCTCGCCTTCCGTCAGTCCCTTGTGCGTTTGTCTTACCTGAGATGAATCAGCACCTTGGTGGAAATACATTGAGTCATAGCACACGGCAGAGTCCGCCGGTCTCATGAAATGAGCTGTGTTTTCAATCGACAAACACTCAATCACGCGACAAACATGCCAGCACCATCCTCAGCGCCCGCCTCCAGCAGCAGCGGTTTCAGATTTGCGAGCTCCGGCTCGCGACGCAGGGAAGGAAAGGCAGCATTTCCTTGTGTCTGCAGAGGTTCATCGCGAGCGTTGAGCGCAGCGGCAGCGTTTGTGTGCATTTCCTGCCCTCAGAAGTCCGGCCTCTCGTGTGTCATTGTCTCGCGCCCCCCATCGCTTTCCTGAACCTTATTGTGCTGCGTATCGATGGCGGACCAGCTCACAGAGGAGCAGATTGCCGAGTTCAAGGAGGCCTTCAGCCTTTTCGATAAAGACGGCGATGGAAGTGAGCATCTCACACCGAGCACCGTGTTAGGGCGAATTTCGGTCGTTGGATGCCTCATGGTGATATGTATGTGTGTGTGTGCCTGTGTGTGTTGTGGTGTGTATGTAGCTATCACTACGAAGGAGTTGGGTACGGTGATGCGTTCGCTGGGTCAGAACCCGACGGAGGCCGAGCTGCAGGACATGATCAACGAAGTCGACGCTGACGGCAACGGTATGCTTCTGAGGGACACACAGCACTCTCACACAGACAGAGGCAGGCAGGCAGGCAGGCAGGCAGACAGCACACAGCGAGAGGAGTCAGTCGAGTCGTGTGGCTGACAAGGCATCCTCACATTCTTCTCGTGTATCGCTCGCTCTCTCTGCCTTCGTTTGTGTGTTGGTATGGTCAATCAATCGGTCAGGCACGATTGATTTCCCGGAGTTTTTGTCACTGATGGCGCGGAAGATGAAGGACACCGACACCGAGGAGGAACTCATAGAGGCGTTTAAGGTCTTCGACAGGGACGGCAACGGTCAGATAAACACACACACAGACAGAGATGGAGAGGAAACCCGCTGTGCATGGGATGTGTGTGTTTGTTTGTGTGTGTGTGTGTGTGTGTTTGTGTTTAGGATACATCAGCGCGGCTGAGTTGCGTCACGTCATGACCAACCTGGGCGAGAAACTCACCGACGAGGAAGTGGACGAAATGATCAGAGAAGCCGACGTCGACGGAGACGGCCAAATCAACTACGAGGAGTTCGTCAAAATGATGATGAGCAAGTGAATGAACCAGTCAGTGTGTGCATGTCTGTGGGTCCGTCTGTCCGTATGGCGCTCTTTAAGCACTCGTTTCATGTCGGAGTTGAGTTGGCGTGCCATGGCGTGGCTGCTGTCTGTATGGCTGGTGGCTCGTCTCGTGCGTTGGGCTGGCTTGGTGTGGTGTGGTGTGGTGTACAGGTAACAGTAACGGTGCTGAGCCTCTCTCTCTACAGGGACGGACGGACGATGAAACGAGTGAAATGGATGCATGTGTGGTGTGCGCGATTGAAGGAGTGAGAGAGTGAGTGGACCCGTCCGTGAATGAGTGTGCTGTGCGTGTGGAAGCACGCATCATCGTCAAGTCAAGTCAACGGCATTTCCGACACTCACGACAGCAGACCGACCTGATGGTTACGATTGATACGAGCGTGTGTGCATGTGTATGTATGTCCATTCATTCGTCTCTACGCTCAAGTCCGCCACATGCGCATGCATCCCATGCATCCATGTCAGTCAGTGTGTAGGCCTCATGCATATCGCTCACAAGTGTTCTGACTACCTCCTCAGCTTGCCTTCCTTCCGTCTGTCTCAGTTCTGCTCCCTGAGGCCGTCAGGGCCTGCTGGAGTACACGCTCCCAGCGAAGTGGGGTATCGCTGGGAGAGGGCTGTCCAGCCGCCCCTCACGTCCACCAAAGCGGAACTGACGACGGGAAGGCCACTCACACAGACACACAGACAGACAGACAGACAGGCCGACACATTCACGCACTCCTGCGCTGCTGTTCTGCCCTCTCGCTTGTATAGTCGCGACCGCCTGTGTGTGGGTATGTATGAACGACCATAGAATATGCTCGCTGATCCATCGAGCATGTCTCACAGCCGTCGCACACCCTCACACCAAGCACACGATCGAATCAAACCAGGAAACCCAGCCAGACGCCCCACTTTCGACCGACAGGGAATGGACTGGTTGTGCATTGCATTCATTGGTTGGTGTGCTGTGCGCTGTGTGCCCCTCTGGCCGCCTGTACTCCTCCCTGGCACGTCTCTGTGGAATCACCGGACACGGGCCTCCACAGAACAGAGACGTACCCAGGTGGCAAGTCAGCCGCCAGAAAGACACGCAGCGCACTCACACACGGAATAGGAGAACGTGGTGAGGGGGAGAAGAGACGATAGGCTATCATTGTGGCGAAAACCGACACCCAGCCGTGCCGTCACACCGCGCCGTCACCCACCCCCCCAGACAGTCAGATACAGAGACAGACAAATACAGACAGATAGGAGGGAGGGGAGGTAACTGTGTGTATGTATGTCTGTACGTCCCGTCCACACGCAGCCGTCAGCCACTCCGCTCACTCCGACACGCACGCATTAGGGTACCACCAACCTACACAGACAGACAGACAGACAGACACACAGACAGGCCTATGCTTGATATTGCCGCCACACATGCACACGCACGCACACAGTCGAAAAGGCGGACGCGCTCGCAAACCCGGGGCTGCCCGGTAATTTGGGAAGGGGCCCTCTTCGCGCGAGCAGCGGAAAACGTCCGTGCGATGGATGAACAGCACGACACACACACACACACAGACAGACAGACACACAGACACTTACATGAAGCCAGCCAGGCAGGCAGGTAGGCAGTTAGGCAGGTAAGGTTACGATGCGTCCACTGCACAGCACATGGACAGGGATGGATGTGATGTGATATGCACACTGGATGGCTGGCTGGCTGCACATTACCACTGGCAACGCAATGAATGAGACCTCAGTGAGAGAGTGAGTGAGTGGGTGGTAGTCAATTCGTTGGTTAGATAGGCAGGCACTATAGTCAACACACACAGCGCACGCACACCACACGCACTGCACGCCTCACACACACACATGGATGGATGGATAGATGGATGTACACGAGCACACGAACGAGGTAGTCAGTCAGTGTCACGCCACGGAGCGAGACAGCCATTGATTGGATTGATGGAGTCAGTGGGTGGGTGTCGGCCATCTCATTCCCCCCGCCCCCCCGCCCGCCCTTCTGCACAAGGAGGAAGGATGTAGCTATGGTATGTAGGCAATGTCGGAACGTACGTCACTTAGCCAATGCCTCACTCAACAACTTAGCTGCAACATCATCCACACACACACACACACGGCGAACAGGCAGGTGGTGAACAAACAGTCTGTCTGTCAGCGTTCGTTCTTTGTGCGTGGTGTGGTCGGCCCACCAATGCAGTGCTCGGACCATCTCGACGGTCCTCTGCGCCTTATACGGGCGATCCATCAGCTCCTGAACACACCAACACACGCACTCCAGTCACGCCGCCTGTGCGTGTGTGTGTCTGTGTGCGTGTGTGTGTGTGTGTGTAGGTTTCTCCCCACTCACTCACCTTAACGTTATCGGTCATCATGTCCGCGTCCATAGCGACCTCAATCATATCGGCACGGCGCTTGGGCGCACGCGCGGGCTGCAGCACCTCGTACGGGCAGTGCCACGACGTGCCACCCTGCACACAACACAACACAGCACAACACAACACAGCACAACATAACACCGCAGGCAGGCCACACAAGACTCGACGAGTTCCTCTCGCACTCACTCATCCCCACCAAACCAAACAAGCCTACCTGCTGAGCCGTGGAATGCTGCGGCGTATCGTGGTGCGATGCCTTCATGTCCACATTGCCCGAGTGCGACGCGGCGGCCATGGAACTCTCATGCTGGTGCTGCTGGTGCTGGTGGGTGTGTGCCACGGTGGGCACACGCACAGGCCAGGTGGCGCTGGGGACGTATGTGAGTGGCGCGTCAGTGATGGCGAGCAGGGATGTGGAGGGGGAGGGCGAGGTGTGGGGGTGGTCGACGTCCATGTGTGCGGTGCTGGTGCTGGTGGGAGGGGCCATGGACGCGGCCGGGGGGAACGCCATCATACTGCCGCCGCTGCTGCTCACGCCAACGCTACTCGGAGAAGGAGCACACCAACCAAACGCAAAACCTGTTAACGCAGAACACACACACCGCACCGAGGGAGGAAAGAGGGATCGCGTCCACACACGCACGGCAGTGTCTGTCATCCTTCCTGTGGCTTACCGGCACCTCTGCCAGCCGCCTGGGACGCGTTAGAAGGCATCAGACTGCCCGTCATCTGCAGGACACAATATCGCGGCAAACGAACCGGAAGATCTGACCACACTCCTGCCCTTCCGCCATGTCTGCATGCCCTGGTGTTGTGGTGAGGCGTCCTACCTGCATAACACGGGGTGGAGAGCTCCCTCCGCGAGGCCTTACTTATCCTTTCCGCCCACGGAGTGTCCGTCGCGACGAACACCTGTCACGGGAGGTGAAAGATGAGCCTCGAGGACGCTTAGAACGGTTCTAAGCGGGGCGGAAAGCGTCCTCCGTATATAGGCCTACTGTCGATTTGTGTTAGAGCAAATGAGTTTCACAGAGCTTGAGCGGTTTCCCCGCCCAAAGCGTCCGGTTTCCAGAGCTTTTTAGAAAGTCAGAACGATTGATGGATCAAGCTCTTTTCCACACAATTGACAAATTGACAATCCCATACGACGGATGAAAGCCAACACTTCCGCCACGGTAAGTACTGGGGATGGCATGCATGCCGCCGCTGTCGGGGCACAGGGAGCCTCATGGGACGACACTGTGCCCGCATGCATGGAGAAGTTAACGAACGCTGCTTCTCTTTCAGGCCTCTCTGCTAGACTGCCCAGCTGCCGATGAGGACGGTCACGGTGCGCCGTCGCCCTTTGTGGTATCACCTCTTCCCTGCAGTCCGCGTAGCTACGGCGGCGCGGCCGAGCCAGACCTGATGCGACAGGCCATGTGCTTCAAACCGGGCAGCCTCAAGGCCATGCTCGAGATGGCGGCGCCGCCCAAAGATTTGGAGGACGGCGGTTCTCTGCGGGCGACGCGTCGCATCACCACCAGCACCACAGACGAGGACCCCTCGCCCTGCGCCCAGTCGCCATTTCGGTTCAGCCCCCGCCAGTCGCTTGACACCACTGCCCTCGACCCCATCCGCGAGGCGCTCTCGCTCGGGCCGGGCAGCCTCAAAGAGCAGAAGGGGCGACCAGCGGAGGAGGCCGTCACGATGCGCCAACCCATCACCTTCGCACCGGGCAGTCTCAAGGGATTATTTGCAGTTGGCGTGACGGGTCAGGAGGCCGGGGAGGAGCGTGGGCTGACGGATATTGGTGGGAGGGAGGAGGGAGGCTGCGGTGAGAGTGCGTCGGCCTCGACAGCCACTGGCGGACTGCTGAGGGGGAAACCTAACTGCTATGGGATTCCTGTGGTGAGGAAATGATACAGCAGACAGCCACACTGCACCACAACCTGATCAATGTGCTTCTTGTGTTTCTGTCTGTGCCTTCTTGCTCTCAGATTGAGCCGTTCGGTCGGGAGCTGGGCGATGCGCGGAGCCCAGCCTTTCCCTTGTCGCCTTTCAACGATTCGCCCATCCCCCGCAGCCCCGCACACGAGGTGTCTGCACACGACCCCATGCGAGGCTTTATGGCCTTCAGGCCGGGCAGTCTGAAGGCCATGCTGGAGGAAGCCGACCCGCTCGAGGAGCCGCACACCATGCTGCAGCCCCCCACAGCCAAGGGAGGCCTGCTGGTGGGCAAATCCAAGGGTCACGCCACGGTACGAAAGCGATGGGAATGGATGGACGAATGTATCCATGACACTAGCTATCATGTTCAACCTTACCTTATTGATGTGTGTCATGTCGTCGTCTCAGTTTGGTCCATCGCCGATCGATGAGGACACAAGGTTCCCCCCGCTGCCCTTCACCGAGTTGCCCATCCCCTGCAGCCCTTCCCAGGGGCTCGCCGCGTCTGACACCATGCGAGGGTTCATCAAGTCCAAGCAAGGACGCCTGAAGGCCTCTCTGGAGGAGGAGGCTGACCGACTGGAAGGATACGACCGCGTCCGCGAGCCCATCAACTTCTCACCCAGCATCCTGACAGACAAGACAGAGGGCTTGGCGGGCAGTGGCGGAGTGAAGGAGGGCAATGGCAATGGCGATGGGGAGAGCTCGTCGGCGTCCACCGCGGCGGCTTCGACGGATCGCAAGAAGAAGCACAAGAAGCGGCGTCCTCCCGCCCTGTCGGCCAAGTCGCTCGGCCTGTGTGACGAAGACGTCAGTGATGGTGCTGGTGGGGGAGAGGGGGGCAGGGAGGGGGGCGTGGGGGTGCGTGAGGGCGAGATATGCTTGTCGCCCACGTGGGCGCCCAGGTGAGACACACCGACACTCTCTCACACACACACAAACGTGAGTGACGTTTGGATATGTGCTGTGCTGGTCAGTGCCCTTGAGCGATTCGCGCGTGAGCTTCGCGAAACGGAGCGCAAGAGGGAGGTCGACGCTTACCAGAAGAAGCTGGACGCGATGGCGGTGGAGCTGCGGCGGCCTCCCAGCCCGCCACCCCTGCTCGCGCCGCCATCGCCCCTGCGCTTCGTCGACGGATACGCCGAGGGCGGCATGTGGATGGGAATTCGCCGGGTGGCGGCTGCCAACGAGGAGGAGATCAAACCTGGTGAGGGGAGAGGAGGGCTGAAGGGATGGATGGGTCAGGTTGCCGCTAATGACGTGGAAGCATTGTTTGGATGGATGTGTGGATGTGTGCGTGTGTGTGTGTGTGTGTGCTTTGTGTTTCAGGCAAGAAGAGTTGGTGGGCGTCGGCGTTTGGTGCGGTGTGGCGGTCCCTCTACGCCACCAATGCTGATTTGCTGGTGGAGCACGTCGTCCTCACGTGATAAGAGGGCGGGCCGGGCACGCACTCACTCATACTTGTTGCCTGTCCCTCTGCATATATATATGCATCTTTCTAGCTGTCTGGCTGGCTGGCTGGCTGAAATGCTGTCTGTGTTTGTGTCCATGTGTGTTGTATAGTGTTGCTGTTGGGTGTGAAGGGGCAAGAGAGCGGGGAAGGCGGGCTGCCCTGTTGATAGAGAGATAGAGGGCAAACAAACACACAACAGATAGATATGCGGAGGGAGGGAGACGGGCTGTCTGTCGGCGTGTCGTGGCGTGTCGTGTTTCGCTTGTCTGTCTGAGCGGCCGAACACGTGATGAGGGGTTTTGCCTGCCCATTACAATCAGATAGATAAGACAGATGACCCCCTCGCCCGCCCAAGCTGACTCTGGCTGTGGCTGCATGGCTGCACGTCTACATGCGCTCGGGTGAGTGAGGGTTCCTCGTAGGCAGACGGACGGAGGGAGGGAAACCGGCCACAACACACAGACAGACAGACAACCACCACACCACACCACACCACACACGGTCATCTGTGAGAGAACTACAAACAGACTGCTGCAGACATACATACACATACGTGAATGAATCATGGTGTTGCGGTGTACTCGGTGGTGTTTGGCGTTCTTCTCTGTGTGCGGCGGAGAGGAGATAAGACGTCTGCAGAGGGGCTCGGGTTTGGTCTTTGAACCCTAACCCTAACCCTGTAACTTGCCGAAATCCAAGCGGAAATGGCTTTCGGGAACCTCTCCATGTTCTTCTTCGTTCTCACCGTCGCGTGCATCGCCATATCTATCACCTTCTCAAACGTCAGCGCAGACGGTAAGATCATGAATCCGGCACGTGCATCTTGGATTCATTCATCCTCCGTTGTGTGCAGCTATGCGCTACTACACCAGTTGCCACGGCAGCACAAAGGTGCATCACGACATCTTTTACGTCCTACTCGCCGTGCAGCTGATCTTGGTGTGCTTCCACTGGCGAGACCGGCGGCCGTCCTCCCACCCGCGACTCACATCCATCGTGACGCAACAATCTCAGCTGAGAGGCCACCCACAGGCCCGGGCGGTGGCCCTCAGTGGCCCCAGGCAGTCGCCTTCACGAGATGAGGATGACGTGGGCGATGCCGATCCTTCCCCGAGGACGAGAAGGGCGAGTTGTTTGCTGGGAATTCACTGGAACTGTAAGGAGAGCGTTGCACGTGACGTACCCGTGTTGATGTGGATTTGTGTTTGCAGCGGTTTGGATGTCACTCTATATGGCACTTTACTTCCTTGGGTCAGTGTCAATGCCGGCACCACATCGGATTTGCCATCCGGTTGTATGTTGAATGCAGTTTCCACGCGTCACTGTACGGCTGGCGAGTGTACGGGAACAGCGATAGCCTTGAAACTACCTGGATGACGTGCCAGTCACAGTGAGAAGGAACTAAAGGGAATCAGGACGGTTGATATTTGCACTCTGTTGCAGAGACGATGCGGTGCGCCGATCTCGTATATCTGAGTTTTCCTACATTGAGGGCTTCTGGGCCTTTGCCACCGCCTTCGTCGCGATCAGAAAGTGCCGGTACGCATTCCGTCTCTGCGCATCTGATGTGCACACATCGTTTGTACTCGTAGTGATCCATGGCGTGTTTCGAACTACGTGGGTCTTCGCGTTCTTCGCGAGTGCTGTTCATGCCAGTATTCTTCCATTGCGTACTGCCAGGTGCAATTGCTGTCCGTCCTGACGAATCCAGACGTGAGCATTTTCTTTTTGTTTCATAGGTACTGCTTCAACTTTCGATTATCATAGCCGCTGGGACGAAGATCGGGATGTGCTGGACGGGAGGTGACCCGCCTCAGACAGGATAAGGCAGAACATATCGTACCGTGTCTTCAGGATATGGTACCCCCATGCAGCTACTCTTCGGCTTCTTGTTGGCGTGTGTGACGCTTTGGGTGGTTGTCATACTCACTCACGTACTGCAGGTATGAATCGTCCCTCTACTGACGTGGCTGATCTTTCTGCAACGTGGCTGACTCTTCAGGTTGACTACGCCCTCCCAGGGGTTGGGCCGTCACTCGAATATCACTGGCTGTGGTACGTCGCAATAACACAAGCGGTCATGGACCACAGTGTGCTGGTTTTCTTGCCGGTACATTATCAGGGCGACGATAAGCTTGGCCATCATATGGGGATGTGGCTTTCTTTTTTACCTGTCTGTCTACGGCATACCGACGTAAGCAATAGCAGGGGTGGAGACGGAGACGACCTGCCTGGAACGGATCTGTGGATGTGTATGTCTGATGTCAGTCCCGATATGTATTGGATATGGCATTTCTCTTTTTGGGTGATATTCTTCCTGCTTCTGATGCTGCGCTTCAATCAAATTTTCCCCATCGTCAACCATGGCGGCGGTAAACAGAAGAAAACACATCCTGCGGCTCGGCCAATCTTCCTGTCTTCATGCTTCAGGCCCTGACGCTCTCGCGAAGTGTGATACGAGTAGTGGAGGAGGACTGGAGGACTTTGGCATGGCACAGAATGCCGGTGTGGCTGCCCATCACTGGAGGCACGAAGGTCAGGTAATCACGCATAACAACACCCACAAGACGCAACATGATGGGGAAACGTGACTTTTCCTCAGATTCGTTTCCTATTTCGCTCCCCATTGAGCTTTCCACTGACGTTGGGGAGGGCAGAGCTGTCCTGCCAGCTGTTCATGAGACGAAGAGCAAAGCCACCGAGGCGATGACACTCGCTTCGAGAGGGCAATCAAGTGACGTGCGAAGAGAGTCTCAGCATCTGATCGCTTTACGTGCACAGTCCAACCCGCTGGATGAGGCGGAGGAGACAAGTGTCGCTAAGGGAGCTCCCGCCACCCTGATGGGCAAACCGAGCGAGAGCTTTCTGTGAGTCACCGAAAACTCTTCCTGTCTCTTTCCTTCCCTGCCTTTTCCTCGCAGGCACAATTCACAACTGCCCGTGCGTGTGCATAGTCTGAGGGGACAGTGAGTGATGCCTGATTGAGTAATAAGCTGCGCGTTGTGTGAATGCAAGAGGCAGACATGATTATCGTTGTGCACACTGGCTCTTCGTGTGAATTAACGGTTCTGTTCATGATCATTTGTATTTCGATCGGCCGATCGTTTGCTTATACGCATATACTATTTGCTTCGCGAGTCAGTCGATCATCGGCCGCCGATAGACAGCTCTTCATCTTGAGTGACGACAGTGATAGAGATGCTTCCGCGAGTCACTGACATGGTCACTGAGCGAAAGGCTACGGCCGTAGTAAAGGATTTTGACAGCATGCTGCATGACTTGGAGAAGGTACCTACATGCAGACAGACAGACACACAGACACACAGGCAGGCAACGAATGGATGATTGATTGATTGATTGTCTCTGCGTGTCTCGGTGTGTCTGTCTCTTCTGTGTGCAGGAGGTCTGGATGAATCGTGGGATGGAGGCCGACAGCAGCAGCGACGACGATGACAAGGGTGTGCTCACCACCATCAGCAGCCATGACCTCCACCCACCGGCACACCCATCGCACACCGACATAGGCACACACATCAGCACCAACACGAGCCACGCCCAGCCCAAGAAGCGCGGCCGCCCGCCCCAGAGTGTCGCCGGCCGCAGCAACCAGCAGCAGCAGCAGCACAACAAGATGACAACGGTGCAGGAGTTCTTGTCGTCGTTGCCCGAGGCTCAAGTCCAGACAGCCATCGCCAAACTCTTCGAGCAAGACACCGAGGGCGAGGTCACCTGACACACACACGATCGTGGAGACGGGGGAACGGCTCACACGAGTACGTGTGTATCGTGATGGTGTGATGAGTGTGTCATCAGGTGCCAGCGTACCAGTCTGGCTCGACGTTGGAGTTGGGGCGAGCGGAGCTCGGCGTGCTCAAGTTCATAGCAAACAGATCGCTGCTGGCGCCTGGTATTTCATATACACCACACAGATGGTTGAATGAATCTGTGTGTGTGTGTGTGTGTGCAGAGTGTACGAAGGTGACGTGGCCACTCAAGAAGGAAAAAATCGCATCGTGTGCGGCACATCTGTACGCAAGCACCGATGCACACGTACACAACACACACACAGAGACATACACGTGCAACGCCATCCATTCACTGCCCCTCTCTCCCCGTCTGTTGTCTCTGTGTGTGTGCAGGGGGCTTTGGGTGGTCGCCTGTCGTCTGAGTGAGATGTACTTGTCCAACACACCCGACTGGCTCGTCAATGCGGCACGCACCTACTACAACCAGAGACGCCGCACCGCTGACAACATCAACAGCTGTGGGGAGGGAGGGGAGGGAGAGGGAGAGGTGCAGCCACAGCCACAGCCACACGCCATGCACGACCCGAGCCACATCCAGTCCCAACAGCTGATGGTGGAGATCGGGCAGCGCGAGGCAGCCATGCGTCAGATGGGCGCCGTGTCGGCCAGTGCCGTCCATGACCTGCTCGCGCTGTCGTCCCACCTCCTGCTCCACTACAACGACGTCCTGCTGCCTGTCGAACGGGACCATTTGGATTCCTTCGTCAGTGCCTTCAGCCAGTCGAGCAGCCACGCCGCCGCATCATGCCCGCCCAACCACACACACCACCAGACACACACACCTGCCCCCTGTGCACATGACACCACCACCACCAACAGCGGCACCAACAGCGGCAGAAATGGCGAGGCGGGCGAGCAGGGCGGCTACAGAGGAGCGCCTCAACGGTTTCCGTACCACGTGAGTCTGTCAGTCAGTCACACACAAACATAGACAGACAGCTCATGTGTGTGTATATGTGTGTGTGGCTTTCTGTGTGTGTGTGCAGGTGTATGAGCAGTGTGTGATCGCACAGTCAGCCCACATAAGACACACCACAAAGACGCATGCATTATCGCCGTGTACATGTGTGTGTGTGTGTGTGTCAGCCTGAAGGTCACCGTGATGGGCACCAGGCTGCCTGACCTCAACGCGCAGCCCGGCCTGGACGCCCTCTGGCATCTGCAGGTGGCCGCAGAGAACTGGGTCCACGAAACGATCCAACACGCCAGGAACGAGGTACGTATAAGCCTGTCGACCCAACCACACCACACCGACACAGGGAAAGAGAATGGTGTGTGGCGTGTGTGTGTATCTGTCAGCACATCAATGTCTTCGACCATGTGAGGCTGTCGCTGCGAGCGAGGCAAGACGAGGCGCGGCGGCGATGCGGGATCAGACCAACACCTCACCCCAGCGACAGCCAGCCTTGTCCACCAGCCATGGCCTCGCTGCTGGACGTGTGCGCTTCGTGCATCAACCGCACCCACACACGCGAGTAGCCACAGTAGAGAGACGGATGACACTGACTCTGATGCTGACTACCGACTGACGTGTCTGTGCATTCATTCGTGTGAGTGGGTGAGTGAGTGTGGATGGACAAATGGATGGATGAGACGATTTAAAAGAGTCGACAAATGAATCGATTGAGGAAAGATTGGCCGACATGCAACACACCTCCACCATTCACGCGCGCATCACTTGATCGTCATCCATAGCTATCTATCGACAACTGAAATGAACTCCCTCCCTCCCTCCCTCCTCTATTGCGACAGGTCTGCTCACAAGAACCACAGCTTGGTGGACAGCTGGTCTGATGGCACCTGGTTGTCCAGCGCTTCTGTGACCTTGAGCGCACACCTGAGGGTCCACATACGCATCCGTGACGGCCCCACTGGACTTGAAGTCCATTTGTCCTTACGTCTCGGCGTACTTGACCGGCGCTGGCACACGAACGGGACCTGTGGCAGAACACACAGACGCCACCATTCCACGTCTCCCCTCTTGAGAAGATGTCTCCCTTTCTGTGCGTGAGGGCATGCCCATCCCATATGATAGCTGTGCGTGTGAGAGCTGTGCGTGTGTACCGCTCCAGTTTTGGTACAGTATGCTGAGTTGCATGGTGATGCGGCAGAGGCCATCGACGCCGACCTTCTTTGTGGCGTCCCAGTTGGCGGACTGACCGTACACCTCATACTTGGTCGGCGTCACGGTGCCTGTCAGCCACGCATGACAGGTGAGGAGGTATGTGTGTCGTGCCATCACTGCCATGGATGCATCCATGCCTTGAGTGACGAATTGGTGGCAGCCGTAGAAGGCATAATTGTGGCTGTCCGTCACACCTGCACAGACAGGACACACACAGCACAGCACAGCACAGCACAGCACAGAGAGATGAGCAGATCAGCTGGATGCATTTGCTCAGTGCAGTGGGGGCCAAGATAAGTCGATATGTCTAATGTCTATCTGTTATGTGAATATGTTTGTGTGTACCTTACCTTGGTCGAACACAGTTAGTGGCGGCGGGTTCTCGAGCGGGCCGCCACCCGGCTTGCGCACGGCAAACCTGACCATACACCGCATACATTCTGCGTATGCTCAGATGCGCAGATGTGTGTTGGGGTGTGTGTGCGTACCTTTGCCTGGCGTTCCTATCGACGAGGATGTAGACCCATTCGGGCTTCCACTCGTCAGTCGTCAGCTGCCTGAACCCCTCCTCAATCATGGGCAGCTCAAAGTCAATGACAGCACGCTTCTGACGCTCTCCCAGACCACCACTGCATTCATGACACATGTAAACCAACGCGAATAGGCGGATGGGCATCGACAAACGGACCGGTAGATGATGAATCTGCTAGGGGGCTGCCCCTTGAAACGCGGATTCTCAAGGAACGTGGCTATGGCATCTGTATGCATCCATCCATCCATCCACACATGAACAGACACAGGAAATACCGCCGCATTGTGTACCCTATATGAAGACCGGGAAGTTGTCGACCTGCTCTCCCTCCCCCTCCCGCACCCGCACGCTCGTGTAGTACTCGAGGAACAGGTCTTCAATCGAGGCCGTCAACACTATCACCGTCTTGCCTGTATCCATCCATCCATCCACACCCGTAGACACACAGACGGGAAGGGCATCGATTCATGTATATCTCTGTCTGGGTTGAGGGGTTGACCTTTGGCTTTCTTGCAGTCCACTCCGATGACCATGGTGCTGCGCCTGACGACAGCCTTGGTGTTCAACGCCCACGCTGCGCCACCCAACTGCACACAGAGAAAACACACATGGGTGGTGGGTTGGTGCCATGTGTATGTGTGTGTGTCTCTCTCTCTGTGTGCTGGGTACCTTGCACGCGATCTGGGCCACCAGTTTGGGCAGTGCCGAGTTCCACCGATTGCCCGACACCGTCTTGGCTTGCACACCCTGCACACATGCCCATACACACGGAGGCAGAGACACAGGAAGGGTTGAGTGATGCCGTCATGGCGTCTCTTTGCCCAGTCCATCCGTCCACCCACCTGTGTGAGTACCGCCTCGTTACCACATGTCAGCCGCTGCTTCATGGCCTGGCAACACACACCGACCCATCCATCCATCATCCATCCACACCACCAGCCTCTTTCTCTCCTCACCTCATAGACCTGTTTGGCCTGGGTCTTATTTTCGGGCAATATGAAGACCACCATGATGGGGTCGCTGGCCTGCTCTATGCGTTCGCGTAGGTCGTCCATGTGCAGCCCGTAGACGCGCTCGAAGCGGGGGTCGTTGATGGTGCCCATGTTGAGCACAGGCGGGTAGATGAGCAATGGGTCGTCGTAGCCCATGCCGTACTCTAGACACACACAGGTACACAGAGAGAGAGAGAGAGAGAGGTGTTGGGGTGGTGGGG